TTACAGCACTGCAACTCCATCCCTCAATTGACCCCAGAGCCTCCAGTGTCACTGCTACCCACCAGCTCTCCCTGACCAGCAGCACAAGCACATCAGTGGGGTTCCTTTCTCTGGATTAGGTAATCCTAATCAATAGAATTAACAGTCTAAACTGAGAGGTGTTTGAGCCATTAACAGAAGAAAATAGTTGGAGAGATGGCAAAGCACAAGTTATATACTAGTTATATGGGAGATAAATATATATATATACACACAAGGTTTGTGAATATATATATATATATATGCAAAAAGTTATGTGGGGAAGCAAAGCCATTGTCTGAAGATCATACAACTTGCAGACACATGAAATAAATGAAAGTCACTGCGCCGTCAAGCAGCTGCCACTCCTTGGAAAGGCTCCGGTGTGCACTGTGCTGATGAAAGACCCTGCACAGAAATCAGTGCTTCTCACTGGGACCGCAGAAATGGTATGGAAAAACATCCACCAGGCTTTCCTCCACCTTGCACCGTCTGGCACTGGCATACAATGGGCTTTAAACCCTGCCATGGCCAGGCAGGCAGATGGGGGTTGACCTGGAGGGCAGCGCTGAGCCCTGGCTGGAGCTGCCCAGGAGCTCCCAAAGGCAGTCAGGCTGTGGTACCACCGAGACAGAGCCTCCCACAACACCTGAGCCTCTATTCCATTAGTTTTAGCCTTGGATAAGGAACTTGCTCTAAGCCGTGTAGGCTACAAATGATGCTGCTTTGTGAGCAGCTGGAAGGGGCTGGATGCTGCAGGGAGGAGTGGATTGTGATGACTGCTGGGAAACAGTTCGAAATTTGGTTGTAGCTCAGACCAAGTCTTACTTTGGCATTAGCTGAACTCAAAAATATAAATATAAATAAAAATTAAAAAACCAAAACCAAACCAAACCAAACCAAAAAAACCAACCAACCAACCAACCAAACCACACAAAGAAGGAAGCAAGATCTCGCACTTCGGTGCATTCTTAGTTTCCCAGCCTTGCTGCAGTGTCAGGAGAAGGTGGTTTCTGAAGGCACCCACCAGCCATGCTGTCTGCTGAGCTGCATGCCACAACCCGGAATTGCTCCGGGCTTCGCAAAGGGATTCCTCGCAAATGCCTTCAGGCTTCTGAATAAAAGCACAGATGCTGTTTATACTGTTCTGTAGCATCTTGGTGCACTATATCTTTAAAAAATGATTTGAATCAAAGCTCTCATTCTTTAATTAAACTTCATTTAGCTGCCATCTGTCTTGGATCAAGATGGCTTCATGTTTTGCAACTCTTAATGAAGATTGTTATTGGATTTGTAAACACATAAGCAACAGAAACCCCCCAAAAAACACCAAAGGCTTTGAAAAGTAATAAATGAGAAACACAGTGGAAGCGTTAAGATCTGCATCTTCACTCATCTAATTGTAATGGAGTGGCTCCCATTCAGCAGATAATCGCAATATACACAAAAAACAAGTGCCACTCTGCCACTGCAGGATCAAGATTAGGGAAGCTGTAAGAATTACAGCTGAGGGAAGCCAGTAATAAAGTAAATGATCTATCATTTTTCCAAAGTGGGAAGGGTCAGCGCTCCTAGGTCACAAGCTAACACAGGCACCAGGGCAAGAGTTTCCCACTCCAGCCATGGAAAATGGAAGTGGATATTGTGGCCCTTAAACTACTCAAAATTACAGCAGGAATCACTGTTATCCAGTCCACAAAATATATCTGTTATAAGAACCCAGCAGCCTCAAAACCCAGCCAGGGGAACCTGGAGGTGCCAGGCAGATGCTGGTGCCTGGCTTAGCACAGGGCAGGGCACAAGCTGCCTATTAGAAAGTGGGGCTTGGGGATATGCAAAGCTCCATATCATGGATCAGGAAACTTAGGGAAGAAAATCTGAGCCCAGAGCTTTGGCTTAGCCCGTGCCGGAGCGGCACAGCCAGCCTTCCTCTGCCTCATCTTGCTCACCAGATTCCAAGCTGAGGATGCTGAGGATGCCAGCAGAAGAGTCTCCTTGGTCAGTTTCCACCCCCCTCAACCATTTACAGCCTTTATGGTTACATTCAGCTCTCTGAATCAAATCATTAGTTCCCAGCACAGCTCCCATTCTCTAATTTAACTCCATAGCCTGCATTCACCCCTGCCTTTTGGCAGCATCATTAGGGCCTGTGTGAGCACAGTGCTTCAGCCCCACACCGCCAGAGCCTCTGCTTGAGGGACGGTGGGATGGGCAGCCTCCAACATCCCCATCATTACTGATCTGCACAACTGCCTTCGGTGCTCTGGCATCAGACCTTTATGTTCTTCACAGAAAAAAAAAATCAAAATATAATGAATGTGCTCTCTTAGGTGACACTGACTCATGAAGCCAGGTAAAACCTGGAAAGCTAATTTAGTGGAGCAATGTAAGGATTAAAGAGAGTTAAACACAAAGTGCAGGCATAGGGAACTTAGTATTAAGAAATAGCGCAGGCAATAAATTCACTAGAATACAGGACACTATGACATGAGAGAACATAAGCATGAACAGAAAGAACTAAAAATGCTAGCACACACAAAAAGGGACATATGGAAGAGAAACAAAAGGAGATAAGAAAAGGGACAAGCCAAGAAATCAGGTACACTTGCCAGATACTGAAAGTCCTTGCCAAATGCACAAGGAAACTATCCAAATTAGGGAAGGTTCAAAAGTTTATGAAGATGATGATGAAAGGACACTGGGTTCATGATGAAGTCAGACAGGAACTACCACCGAAGTTCTCCCCAAATTAGAGACCACGCCTCAAACTCTGCCTCAACTCTGCCTGTTATGAATATTAAAAGTAGATGTTGCAATATAATGAATATTCATAATACGTGATGTAATTGCTTGGCAAAAAGTGTATAAAAAGCTCAATTGTAAGTTTCTCGAGCGGAGCAGTTTGTCCAGGGCGACCTGGCTGCTCCCCAGCCGTAAAATAAATACCTCCTGCTTACAGACTGAAAATTCTGTCTCTGAGCAGTTCTTCCGCGCCTTCTTTGGGGCACAAATTGGCATCACTCAGTGGGATCTGACCTGTGAATAAGCCCCTTTCAGACATTTGGGAAGAGAAAAATGTATTTTTACCTCTGAATCATGTTTCTTTGTTTCCTAATTGGAGATGCTGCAGGTTTGAGCATCAGGCAGAAACAAGACTCAGATTTTGATGCCAACTGCTCAGATGTCAAACTGTATTTATAATTGGGGTCACTGATACAGGCTTTGCCACCTTTGTGCACTATCCTACATTTGTTTCGGATTTTGTTATCTCATGTGATCATTTACATCTAACTCTAGAGCAAATGCAAGTCCAGAGCCAGGAAATAAAACTGCAGCTGTCTTGAAACACTTCTACTCACCATCAAATAACACTTCTACCAACCATCCGAAACTCTTCTGTGGCCTTAAGAGACATGGACTCAAGCAGACCAAAAACATGTAAAAGAAATAAAGGATCGCATTGCACTCAGAAAAACTGTCATGAGTGACTTTGATCCTGTGTCCACCACAGTCCACCTGCTGGCAGACCACAGCTGCTACTGTCATGGCAAGTTTGCTCTGTGGCAAGGCTCTGACTCATCCTGCATCCTGGAGGGACACCCAGCAATGGTCACCCCCCCAGTGATGCCATGTGTTGCTGCTTGGGATGACTCCAAAGTTACAATCCCCTGGTGGCTCCTGCTGAGCTGCATTTACCTACACCCAAGCCAGGATGTTTCTTCTTGTTGGTTTCTTATGCCAGGATTAGTTCTCACTGTGTCTCACCTGTGCACGGCTCTCAGCAGGCATAAAGCACAAATTAAAAATGTGCCATGGTTAGTAACAGCAGTCAGGGCCATTTGCTTCTGCTGCCAAACTCCAGAGGTGGAATATACAAGGCAGAAATTTCAAATAATATCCCTCAATTTATTGCCTTATTTCTTATATGGGGCAAAGTGGCCCAGGGTGTGTGGAGGAGCCCAGGGGTTTCCCCAGATGCCCTCAGCACTGCCACTTGCAGTGGCCAAGCAATCTGGAACCTGTGCAGCCTCAGCAGGATCAGCCTGGAGAGAAGGAAGCGCAGGGGGGACCTTCTTGCTCTATACAACTACCTAGCCAGGTGGGGGTCCAGTCTCTTCTCCCAGGTAACAAAAGGAAATGGCCTCAAGTTGCACCAGGGGAGGTTTAGATTGTGTGCTATGGAAAAGTGTTCACCAAAAGGGAGGTCAGGCATTGGAACAGGCTGTCCAGGGAAGTGCAAGAGTCACCATCCCTGGAAGTGTGAGGGTCACTATCATCCCACTCAAATCCCATTCAAATCCATGAGGATGTGGTTCATAGGGATGTGGTTTAGTGGCGAACATGGCAGAGCTGGGTTAATGGTTGGACTTGATCTTAAAGGTCTTTTCCAAATGAAACAATTCTGTGATTCTATTGAAGGAACTTCCTCCCCCATAAGGCATAAAAGCCTCCCAGAAAGTCATAGAGTCACAGAATGATAATCATAAAATCATAAATAGTGAAGGACTTCAATGGATGAAAATCTTTTTCTGGTTTAGGCTGTGGTTAAACTCATGAAACCCAATGCTTCTGTGCCTTTCTAAGACCTGGGATGGCAGGAGGCTGGAAGGGAAGGCTTGGGAGGATCTCACCTCTTGGGAGGCCTGAAACCTCCTTCCTTCTTAACGCAAATGCACTTCAGCTCCAGAGCCAACAGGACTCATGAGTGCAGGTGCCTGATGCTCAAAAGGGCTGGTTCCCTCCTCTGTCACCACTGCAGTTTGGTACCACTCCTGCGGCAGCTCTGTACATGGATTTTTACAACTTTGATTTAAATTAAATGAAGCATTAAAACATTTCAGACCTTATGGCTTCAAGCACTGGTGACACTACGGATTTACTGAGCAGCCAAAGCCTGACAAGGTCTGTCCAGGGGTGCCCTTCTGCCCTTACTCTTACCTATAAATGCTATTTATCAATACTATATGTAATAAAATAAGTACTTTTAAGAGCAAGGCAACACTTTTTATTTTTATTTAAAAAGGCCTTGATGGCAGGAATATAGTGTAAAAATCATTGGAAAAACTAAAAGGCATTGATACATATTGGAATATACACTTTTTACATAAATTACATTTATTTATTTATTTATTTATTCTCTCATTTGAGGTTCTTATTCGGTATTGAGGTCTAATAGTTAATAGGTCCTGGGATCTGGACGTTTAGACCACCATAGTCTAACATGTACATGTTCATGGGCCATTGCTGAAAGAGAGGGAGAGAAAAAGAAGGCAAAAGTCTCTGTTAGGACACAACACAAAACCATGCATGCATCAAACCTCTGACATGTTTCGACACCAGCTGTTGCTCCCACTTTCCAAGGAGAAGAGAAGAACCAACCCCAAACCAAAACACCATTGGCAAACTTCACAAAAAAAACTTCTAAATTTGTATTTCTTTTGCTCTTTTGGGGGGAGTTTTATTTTGTATCATCCACAACCAAAGCCAAGCCCTGAGGGAGTGCAGCTGTATGCATCTCCCTGATTTGTTTCCTATTTTTGTGGGTTTGTGGCATGCTGAAGCTCTGCATCACTCCCAGGACCGAGCTGGAGGTACACCCGGCACAGCTCAGATCATGGGGAACCACTGGGTCCTGCCAAGAGGTGCTACAGGCCCAAGATGATGCCACCAGCATCTGTGTTTTAACCCAGTGGGGTGGGAGAATTTGCTCGAGTCTGTGTGCAGCTCACGTGTGGCTCCCACTAAAGCTGAGCACCCCCATGGCACCCAGCAGGGATGTGGGAGAGCCCCAAGTGGTGGCAGATGCTTTGGTCTGCTGACCTCCCCCAGAGAAACCCAGCAGGAAAAGGTAGCCCCACAGGTGTGCCCCCTTCTTTGCCAAACCTGCTTGTGCCATTTTACATCACACTTAATAGTGTTTGTCAGGCAGAGGGAGGTGGTGACGGTTCGAGAACAAAGAGCAGCATCCAGAAGCAGAAAGATAGGTAGGCAGTAACCCCCCTAATATTTGGAAGGCTTTACCACAAGTGAGATCTGATTTGTTGATGATGTAGACTCCATATTGGAAGAGGAGGAAGAGGAAGACGAGGAAGAGGAAGATACCAAGTTTCCTTCAGAGATCCTCTTCCGCTTCCGTTTGGGAACACTGATGTCTTTCTCTGCAAGAAGAGAGGAAAGGCGTGAGGTGTCCAAGCCCTGCAAGTGGCCCCTAAATGTAGGGTCTCTTCCTGCCGCTCTGACCTCGCCTCCCCCAGAACATCTCCCCACAGCAATCTGCTCAGCCTCCATGATCTGGCACAGAGCTGCCAGCTTTCCTCACATTGAAGGCATGCTCTTGCTTGCCAGATCTCCCTTCTCTACAAAGCCACCTATTTTCATAACACTAACAGGATCATAATTTTCTCTAGGGTTGCTAATTCTGACACATTTGATTACAACTGGCTGAGATTTACTGGGGAGGATGGGACAGAGAGAGAAACACATTCCCAGTGATCACAGAAACCTTGTTTCCTTAGAAGTTCAAGTGCTAAACAATGGATCAAATTTAACCAGTGAATAAATTGCTCATGGTGAGTAAATTGCTAATGGGAGAGAGATAATCACATCCTCCAGAATATGCTGGAAGTTTGAGACGAACAGCCCAGTCTTCCTGCAGCTCACAGAAGTGGAATCATTTAAGAGGATGGTTTGCTAATGAACAGATGCTTAGCCTACTGAGGTAGGATCTTCTCCCCAGCCGGCCCTAGGGATGGTGGGAAGTTCGAACACCACCTCACAACCCCATCCATTTTGCCTGTGTATTTTCTCTCCTGTAGAGCTGGGAAAGCCAGTTATGTCCTAGCCCTTCCCTTACCTGTTTGTTTGACCTCGGGGCAGATTTCAGCAAATGGCCTGTGGAAGAGACAATGGGTGAGTCAGGCAGATGGTGTTGTTTCACCCTGTGTGCCTGCCCATGCTGGGACACAGCCCAGACCCCAGCCCTGAGCTGCCTCCTCCAACACCCCTTTGCATGGAGAGGGGACTCAGAGCATCCCCAGTGTGCCCCAGAGGGAAGCAACCTGAAACAACTCAGCTGGGTCTCTGAGTTTCCTGCCCCCATGTCATGTCCCTTCCCAGCATGATCATCACAAATTGCACAAGAAAGAGGGGAAAAATCAGCCCTGCTAACCCTTTGCTGCGCCCACCCACGGGTGAGCACCTCCCTGCAGCACAGGACAATGTATGTGGTGGCTCTGGTGGCCCTGTGGTGAGTTACCCCACTCGTGGCTGAAGAAGCAAAGACAACACTTAAAGAACAGTAACCTCCCCCATCACAAAGCTGGGGGGACTTACTGGAGCTGGTTTATAATCACCATCCGAATGCTCTCCCGTGCCTTCAAGATCTTCTCCAGCCGATGAATGTCATAGGTATTGGGATTTCTGAACGGGATATCGTCTGGCAACCCAGTAACCTCCACGGCATCAGGACTGTCCCTGATGAGTTTATAGGGCACCATGACAGGTCGGTTCAAGCCCAGAGCCTCTCCTGTAACGGCAGAGCAGAGGACAGCATACCAGCTTTACCCCAAGGGGCTCCAGACCCAACCAACTGAAGGACCAAGAGCCCCAGGGGACTTTGGGAAGCCATGGCTGCCATAATGCCTGACCTTTGCTGCAGCCACGCCCCACCCAGCTGTTTCACATCTACCTACCCAATTTACTGTCTGCTCTATTAGCCTCATTTAGAATTCTGCAGGAGCCTCAGGTGAGTTCAGAGCACGCCCATTGCCGCACTTGTACGAGCAGCTAAATCAGCAGCAGCATGAGAGACAGCCCAGGACAGGGGGCAAATGAGAGAGATTTGCCCATTTCCACTTCCCTCTAGGGGATCACTGGGGTGGATATCACTGCCATGCCTCATCATCACATCACATCAATCACATCACATCACATCAATCACATCACATCACATCACATCACTTCACATCACATCACTCCTGCCCATTTTTTTGAATCAGTTTCTCTCTTTGGCCTCCACAACATCCTATGGCAGCGAAATACCACAATTTAATTCCTTGCTGCATTAAAAGCACTTCCTTCTGTGCGATTAAACCTGCTGCTCACCTCTCCAGATACCCCTTCAGTTCCTACTTGGTGGGGAACAGTGAACATCCCTCCCTCCTGTGGTGGTTCTTTCTGACTGTAAGTGCCTGCTCCCGCCTTGTGTCTATGCAGCCCAAAAAGATGAAGGTGTGAGTGGCACCTCAGCCACATTTTTGGCTTTCCTCACAGAAAGTTTGTCCCTGGAGCCTTCCTGGCATCTTCTGCTCCATAAACAGTGCCAGGACCATGAGAAAGCAGGGATCTGCTGTGGGCTCAGCCCTCCCAAGGGTTGAATGGATAGAGATGCTCAGAGCACTGGCACCAGCCTTCTGGGGTGCTGTGCCCATAAGCTGGCACCTCCAGTGACACAAATCCACCCTCAAAGCAGCACACAGCCCCTGCTGCAAGCAGCACCCCAAAATAAACAGGGTTGGGAAGGGTGAGCAGCCTTGACAAGAGGAGATGAGAAAGGACAGCAATGACATTCCCTACTGCTTTGCTATGAATTTGGCTATTTTCCTTCTCCCTCAGGCAGTTATTCTGGGGAAGGAGGCTAGACACCACACTGAAGCTGTGGGGTGCCACTGAGCTGCTGTGGCCTGGCTTTGAAGCCCTGGAGACTCAGAGGCTGAAAAATAACTGCACTTACACAAGCTGTGTAAGCTGGCAAGGGGCAGCCAAGAGCAGGGGCAGCCCAACCTGCAGGGTCAAGATGAAGGGTCATGCACCCTGCGCTGGCTCCTACAGTCCCCCCACCCCCAGCTATTCCTGCTGCTCCTTTTCCCAAGGATGGGTGGAAGGAGAGGTTTGCTGGGTAGCACAAGGAGCCTGCAGATGGCATTTTCGAATTGTCAATATTCTGACCTCCTTTTCCACTGCAGCTTCAGCAAACTGTTCCCCACATGTGCTGCATGTCAGGATGGGGATCCAGCCTTATTCTCAGCCTGGCAGGCAGGGGCTGGCACAGGGCAGCACACTCAGTATCTGGCTCGTGCCAGATCAGAACATGTTAAAAACGCATCAAAGGCTGACAGCAGACTGAACAAATCCTGCTCCTGTACTGCATTTTGCCATCCTCCTTCCCCTTGCCAAGGATGAGCTGTCAACAAGCAGGTCACAGTCCCACCTGCCAGAAGCAAGACACAGGGATGTTCCTGAGGACAGGCTGTAACGTGGAGCAGCAGGATGGAACCTGCGCTGCGGCAGCTGCGGTGTGCTCAGGCTATAAATAGAGGCCTTTGGTGGAATTAATTTTAACTACAGCTGCTGTCAGCAAAACCAGGCTCTATCTGTGATGCACGCAGGCGGAGACTCACCGTATTTCTCATTGAAAAGCTCTTTCACTTGCTCTCGGAGAATCACCTTCTCTCCGAGCCTGTTGGCATCATCCTCATCTGCAAAAGCAAGGACAGGCATGAACACACCTTGTTTCCTTCTGAGCCCCTGGAAAACTAATCCCACTGCCAAAATGCAGGGGGGTGTCCCTGTCCATCTGCCTCAGCATGGCCTGGGGACACCTCAGAGGTGCTGCTCTCTCCTAGCACCCTGTGATGCCTTTCAGAACTGTGCAAAGCAGCTCTAAAATGCTGTGCCTACCCACAGATCTCCATTTGCCATGCACTGCCATGGCTGAGAGCATTTTACGTCTACATTGAGGAGTGTATGACTAGAAAATGACTAGAAAAAATGCAAAGCAATGGATGCTCAAGCCCTCAGTGCCGTGAATGCTCCCACGAGTGACATCAAGGAATGAGAGAACACTTTTATGGCTAGGCTCCTAAGTACAGTATTGTTTTATAATATGTCATATAATCAGTTTGGCTTTACTAGCTTTTTCAATTATCCTCATCATGCTAAACAGTTTCTCCTCCATTCTCTCATTTCAAACGATGTGTCTAATTCAGTAGATTTTTACCCTCAGCTATTTAGCATTCTCAGGAGACTCCAGGACAAACAAGTGGGGTCACTGCAGGTCCCCTTCGATGCTTTTTTACCCCTACAGGTGTAAAGCACCAAGTGAACGAACTTTATCTGCCTCTTGCTGGGGTCACCCCTCTAGTCCTGAGCCAGTTGTGATGTGCTGTGCAGGATCAGCTCAGTGGGGTCTCCTTCCCACATTCTCTCCTCCCAAAGAGAACCCTCACTGCACCCAAGGCAGGCACTGTCACCCTGGCTGGCAAGCCACTGGGTAGACATCATGGAATCCCTGAAAGGTTTGGGTTGAAAAGGACCTTAAAGACCATGCAGTTCCAACTCCCTGCCACAGGCAGGGACATCTTCCACTAGACCAGTTTGCTCCAAGCCCCGTCCAACCTGGCCTTGAACACTTCCAGGGATGGGGCAGCCACAGCTTCTCTGGGCAACCTGTGCCAGTGCCTCATCCACCCTCACAGGGGGGAATTTCTTCCCAATATTCCACTTAACCCTGCCCTCTGCCAGCGTGAAGATATTCCCCCTTGTCCTCTCACTTGTTCAAAGTTTGTCTCCAGCTCTCTTGGAGAGAGTAGCCCTTAGGTACTGGAAAGGGCTCTAAGGTCTCCCCAGAGGCCTCTCTTCTCCAGGTGAACACCTCCAGCTCTCCCAGCCTGTTTCCATGGCAGAAGTGCTCCAGCCCTTGTGGCCTCCTCTGGACTTGTTTCAACAGATTCAGGTCTTTCTTGTGTTGAGGGCCACAGAGCTGGATGCAGTGCTCCAGGTGGGGTCTCACAGTGGGTTTTTATAGCATCAAGGTCAGCCCTGTAAACCCTGGCATGAGGGATCCAAGCATCCTCTGCCTCCAGTCTGAAGCTATTTAGTTTCATTTTAAGCAATCACATGATTGTGATTTTTTTTTTTCGCACATGATTTTTGGTTTGATTTTAAGCAAACAAATGGCTGGCAGTTTTGTTCTAAACACAAGGTGAAACCCCATCATGAGTCCCTCAGCATGGGACTGAGCCTAACACTCAACACCTCTGGCAGAAACAACCCCATCCCACACCTCGGCTACTCTGCTGCTGCAGGTGCTGGAGAGAAGCTGGCACCCTTAAACCTCTGCACTCTGCTACTGCACAGTACAGCCTCAAAAAAGCCTCTTCTCCACCTGGAAAACAATTGTTTTGCCTTGATATAACTAGGAAAAAACAAAAAGACATTTCTGCAAAGAAACCCCAGGGCCAAGTTGTGCTTCAAATCCAGAAAGGGCAACAAAGCAGCTTGAATGGCATGGAACAAAAAATAAATAGAATAGATGAAACTCAAATGTTGCCAGGGAGCTCTGATTTCAAGGTGATGCCTTCCAGCACTGCTTCAGAGGCTGTGGCAGACCAGTGGGGGCCAACCCTATAGGCTCCCTCTGTGACTTCCTTGTCATCGATGCTCAGTTTCTGGGCTGTATATACACACCCGTGTGGATGTGTAGATGGTAGCAGACAAAGAAACACCAAAATTCAGTGTTCTCACTCATGTAATTGTCTGGGACTGAAAAATGAAGCATCTCTTTCCTTTCCGCTCATGCCCCAAGCGATGTGAGTGCCAAAAACAAGATCCCAAGGGGTTTTTTCCACCTTGCAGTGGGCAGTACTCATGAATTCCCATCTAAGGACACAAACAAATATGAAAAACCTGGAACTGAGCATGCATAACAGAGAAGCCAAAGAGGAGGCTCTGCCCAGTGGTGCTGCTTCCTGGGGACCTGCCCCTCCGTCCCAAGGCAAGAGAGAACTCCATGTCCCTTTGACTTTACCCATTTGGATTTGGGAATTAATCAACTCAAGGAAACCACTGCTGCTCCTGAAACGTGCAGAGTCTTTCCCATCAAACAGGTTTATCCATGCTGCTGGCTTCAGCTCTGTGTTATCTTTTTTTTTTTTTCCAAAAAGTAGCCAGTTGATTAACCTTTTTTCCCCAATCCTACTTGCCTGAAGCCAGGAACCCTGGCCTCCATAGGCACTTACATCCACATGGTCACATTTTTAAAGCACCATTTGCTTTTTTCCTTCTCAGAACTTGATGTTTCTTTGAAAAACACCAACTTACAGTTAGTAATTATTAAACTTGGCTTTAGGTGTCTGCTGTTGGACAATAGGATCCAAATCACTGCCTATTCTTCTAGTGACTCAAAAAACCCACACAAAACCAAATCCAAGGCATCCCAAGGATAAACAATGGTTCTGTGTTCATGATGGCAAGTGCAGAGCCTTGATCTTGGCAGTGAAGCTGCAGCAAGGCCAAGCAGGGTACCCAGTGGAGCCTTTCTCCTTCCCATGCCACCAACAGCATCCTTTGAGTGCTGCTCCAGGCAATGCCCCTCCTCCACTGGGCCACTGCGCACGGGGTAAAAACCTTCTGTTACCAAAACATGTGTCATGAAGCCTGTTTCATGAGGAAAACTGCCACTGCCCAACACATCCCACTGAGAATGTGGCTTAGATCCCTTCTGCAGCCAATCCCAGACACATTAAAGAAACACCCAGCCATGGCAGGATGCTTGCAACAGCCAGGATCTGGCCCTTGCTCCTAAGAGAATTCTTTCCACCTCAAGCTTCCATGGCTGCAATTCAGTTATACCCCTGTGCAAATCCAGAATAAACCTGCTGTCTTTACTGAGGCTATTCCGCAGTAACTCAGGTTTAAATGCAGTTAAAATAACCTCAACACATGTATGTTTTTAAAACAGAGCTATAAACTTGACACCTAGACACACAGCCAGAATTCCAGCTGGCTGCTTGCACTACCACTTGATCTGCCTTGCCCTGCCACAGGTACAGGCAGGAGAGCTCTTCCTTACTCCTGTATTTTAGTCTACATCTTAAATCCCCCAAGCCTTCATGGCTACACACAAACCTTGGCCCAGAATATGAATTAAAGCAAAGCAAAAACTCCCCAACCCAAATCCATGTAAGCTCTCTGTTGAATGGTAAGTGGATTTTTAACAAACTAATTGCTGGGACACATGGGTGAGCTGAGGAGAACGTGGCAGGGTGGTTTGACTGGAGCAGAACTGGCTCTGATGCCCAGGGACTACAGCAACAGCGCTTAGAAATGCAGAGAGAATAATAACAACAATAAAACACTGTATCATTCAGTTTGGAGTATCACAGGGAAACAGAGCAGAGAGGAAAAAATACCTGAAATTTGGGGGGTTTAGACATTTTCATTCCCATATTAAAATGCAAGTGCATTTCTTGTCTGCTACCATCTACGATGCATCAACTGAGCTACGTACCATTCAAGGCAGCGTACGCTTTTTCCAAGGATGTTATCCGTCTAGGGGCTACAGTGCAAGTTACCGGAAGACAAAAAAAAGAAAAGAAAGAGAAAGAAAAAGAGAGCCATGAGTGCTGCAGCTTGATTTTTTGGTCACAAACTAAAGCAAAACCCAGGACGACCCTGTCCCTAGCAGCTTAAAATTCCTCTGGTCCCAAGGCCCCTTGGCACAGAGACACTTTCGGTAGCTCAATAACTGCTGGGTGAGCTATTTAGTGGTGAGCTGGGCTCCCCGCCTTGCACCAGAACCTGCTTGCTTTGGAATGTGTTTGAGCCTGCGAGCATCCCTTGAGATATGCTGCACTCCTGGGCAGCTCAAGGTCCACACATGCCCAGGGATGCATGGTTGAATGGCAGCATTTATGGCATGTACCAGAGCAGCAGCAGCTGTGCTGCACAGCTGTTCCAGCACCAGAGGAGAAAAAAATCTGAGGTTAAAGCAGATGAAAAGCAAACAGGGAACTTGTGTCAGTTCTGCAGCAATGGGGGAAAACAGGAGAAAAAGGAGTCCCTAAGGAGAGGCTGGTGCTTGCCACTGACTCCAAAGTGACGAGCCATATCAAAAAGAAATTAATTTCCTGGCAAAAAGCTGCAGGGACGGGGCTAGGGCCAGGATTTGCATGATGGGCAAAAGGAGGAACGAAGTGGCTCATCCCATTGAAGTCACAGCCACAGGGACAGCCTGTGGGGAAGCTGAGGCTGCAGCATCAGGGCAAGGAAGGGGCTCAGTGGGGAGGCTCTTACTGCCAAACTGCAGTGCACTGGCACTGGCAAACTGGAGGGGATTGGGGAGAGAGCAGGAGCATGTGTCCAAATTTTCTTAACAGAGGCATAAGCAATCTGAAATAACTCAAAATACATGTTCCACATTTCAAGGAGGCTCAGGAAAGCAGCCACTGCAGCACAGTGCTCTTCTGCTGCCCTGTGTGGGGGACGAGAGCCCTTCAGTTCAGTGGTACCAAAGAAAGAGAAAAACATGGGGTTCTGCCCAGGGCAATTGCACGCACTGAGCTTTGGGCACAGACCTCAGACCCTCATAAGTTGGGACACTGAGCTGGGCCCTGCACCCCTGGGCTGCAGCAGGACGAATCCTGTCATAAGTGGTTGCAGCACTGCCGCTCGCTGTCACACAGCAGGATCACTGAAAATAAGTGATGCTCTCTGCAGCCTGGTCTCCCAAATCGCTGGTGACAGTCTGCTTGAGTGGGCACCCTGAGGGCAGCACCCACAGCACTAAATGCTTATCACAGGGAAAGAGATGCAGATGGATTATGCTGACGCTGGGAAAGCCAAGTAGAGTCCAAGCCAAGAGGGAACAAGGTCCTGGCATGAATTCTGTCAAGGAGGAATGCAGACAGGAGTGCAAGCAGACTGCAAGCAGTGAGGTACAGAAACATATGGCAGCATCTTTCCAGTATGGATCAGAACCAGTTTAGGAAGGGCAGTACTGCATTTCATTTGGTTGGCAGCAACTCAAAGGTTTTTGCAGCATTTGAGGGGAAGATTTCAAGACGCTGTTATGAAATCATGCTGCTTAAGAAAGATAATTAAAATTTCTTGCCCTGCTAACCCACACATGCTGAGCCTTAACCATGGGAACCATTTCACCAGGCTCAGGGCCACAATGCTGTGAGGTATGGACCACATCCCAAAGTGCTGGACCACAACCAGGATGGAGCAGTACTCATCTCACCCTGTGATAAGCACCCTGAAAAATGGAGTAAGGGGTCTCTGAAAGACCCAGCAGGATATAAGGGTGGTGGGGAGCAGGAGGGAGATAAGAGTAAAGTGAACATGAGTGTTGGGATGAGCTGGGTGATGGTGCTGCCTTCTTGAAAGCGAGAGGATGCCAAACACACAGGCAAATGGGAAAAGGAGACCAAAATTAGGGAAAGAAAAAGGTGATTGGAATCACAGACAGGCTTTGAAGCTCCACACCTACTCACACTATCTGCTTGAATTTTCACCTTCAGACTAGAAACAGTGAAAAATAATTCACCCCGGGCCTGGCTGCTCCCACGAGGGGTAAACAGGGCAGAGGGGTAAAGGGAGAGGCACACGGACCTCAGACAGCAACCTGGTGATGGAGCAAGATGAGCTCAGCCCTATCACTCCTTTCCTGTTTTCTTTTTTTTCTTGCTAGGAGTTTCTAATGCAAGGCACATCTCATCAAAGTCTTGAGGAGGATTGTGCTCTTGTGATTAAAAAAAAATATCTAAAAAGGATGCCTGAATGTGTGGTTTTTTTTAATTAAAGAACACTGCCTGCCCTACTTTATTAATTGGAGTATGGGAAATAATCTATCAGGGTGGTAGGGAGCTTGGGGAATAGGACAGATGTAGCTGGTGTACATTTTCAATCAAAGCACATAAAAATTAACATACAGAGATATTTTTTTTATGTGTGTGCTAGATTACTTATACTTGATATTTTTTTTCAAAGGCTCATATTAAGCCAGTTTTGTATCTCTGTGCCTCAGGAAAGAAAAAGAGAAAGGATAAGCACAGTGTTTATAGCACTGGAGCTTTACCCTTTCTCACTCACTCCTGTTAAATGGTGAAAGATCATTCTGCTTTCAAAAAGGGGTTTTGAAGGTCTTTTTGCAGAGCAGAGACCAGACTTTTTTAGTAGTCCAGAGAAAAGACACTGGAAATCAAAACAAAAACCTCTGGATGCCAGGAGGATTGTGCTTCTGGGTTAAAGCCCTGGGGGGAGTCACAGAGGTGAAGTGCTGGTACCAGTGGTCTCAGGGCTATTGTCCAATCTTTGAGAGGCTGCAAACCTGCACTGTGGATGGTTTTTTTTCCAAACACCAGCCTCATTCACTCCAAAATCCACCTCCTTCTGCAAACAGCATCCCTGAAGGCACAGCGCCCCCAGCTGCTTCTGCACCAGCAGCTCCCCCATCCCCATTTCCCAGAAGAGGGGAGATACCACCTCAACAGATAAACTACAGATTATCTTGAGAAGAAAGCACTGAGGTGCTCAGATCATATTGAAATCCTTTTCTCTGTTTCTGTTGCACTGAAAAAACGGGTGTCCACAAAAGAGAGAGAGCCATGGTCCTGCACTTATTGGGAATGCTCTTTGCAATGCAGGAGGTGCACAACTTTAAAGCAAATTAAACCCCATAATTTAACCTAAAGGCAACTAAAATCACTCCAACGTGATTTTTTAAAAAATTATGTTAAATGTCCCCTTTTCCTTAAAATGTGTACTTTTCATGTGATTTTTGGCCAAAGTGATCCATAAAACCCATTAATTTCTCTTACCTTTATAAAGTCACCTCCTGGGCTTTCCAGTTTTAGAGACCTCTGCAATACCATCCTGCTTGGGAGTAACTATTGCTTTCATTTTAACCCTCCTCTATGAAATAAAAGTGATTTTTATTGATTTTGTTTTAAGGCCAAGCACACTGCTGCTCATTTTACATGGCAGGGCTTCACTACACAAGACTGAGGTAAAAGGATGCTCTTAAATTTAAATTTTTAGTGAACTATGTCTAGTTGGAAATCATTCATTTTGTTAAGGCAGATGAAAAGCAATCAAAGCCAAGGCAGTGAGTGTACTACTGTGTTGCCACTATCAGCTTTCATGTAATGGCATGGAAAAGCAAATGACAGGTTAATTGCTGCCAGTGGGGATTTTTCAGGGGGGCAAAATACAAATAGCTCTTTTCTCGAGGAGATATTCCAATAGTAATCTGACTACTAGAAGACCATTATAAGTCCTGGAATTGTCTCTGAAGATTTGGCAAGTATGGGAAATAACCTATAACAAATTGAGATGTCAAGTAAGGAAAACCCCTCATCTGTGACTCCTCTTATTTAAAACCTCAGTGGGAGGAGAGAGACTGAAGCACCGAGCCTGGCAGGGATGCTGCAACCTGCCGAGTCTACTCAGGGTACCACAATACACATAATAAAATATATCTTTAGGTTTGCAGAAAGGCCAGTCCATGGGGGGAGCATTCAGCTGGAGAAGGAGAGAAAAAGATGTTGTGCGTCAAAAAGAAAATCAATTTCCTCTCCATCTCTATTTATCAGGCTGCATCTCCCAGTCAGGTAGCATGTTGAAGTATTTGCCTTCTGATGTTCTCCTTTGTTAATGGTGTGATTTGTGTCAGATCAGGGTCTCTTAACACAATTACACTGATTATGGCTGGGGAATGGGGAGACAAGATGTGGCTGGAGGAGCAGATACATAACCATGTAATTCTGTGGAAAACAAGAGTTCTGCAAAACTCATGTTTCACTGAGAGCTCATTTAAGGTCTAGCTACAAGTCTAAGGCCAAGGTCTGCAGAGGTCTTGAGGCATCACTGGCTGGAGCCTACACAGGGACACAGAAGGTGAACACAAAGACCATGCCTGAATTTTTCTGACAGCTCACCTTTTGTTAGAGCTCTTTCTGCTGTTCCAAATAAGGGTATATAAATGTTTTCCTCTCTGCCATATTTGTCTTTCCTAAATTGTGCCATCACCATGGAGGCTGGCCAAGGAAATGGAAAGCCATGAATAAAGATGACAAGGTTCTTTGCACCCAGCTGTGCTCTTCCAATAGTTGTAATTACAGACATTTAAAATCGAGACAGGTTTTTACCCACATTTCTGATGGCAGCTCTTTTATTGAGGCAGCCTAGAAATGAGAGACAAAGCTACTGTGGGAATACACAGTGAAGGACACAGTTCTGGGATGGTGATTTGAGCAGTTGTTATGGAGTACATCCCAGACACCCTGTCCTCTCCTCTGCCACGACTTCCCCAGTGCATCCGCACACGAAATTCCCACAAGCTGGAGTGGGCTTTCAGTGCCACGCTGCTGCAGCCCAACATGGACCTTTGTGGTTAACCACCCCTTCCCATGACCCTCCCTAGCCACCAAACTTGCCAGCTCATTGCAGTGCAGATTTATTTTAAGAAAACACTTAAGCAAGTGGGTGCTTTCTTAAATAGAAAACAGATCCCTGCCCTAGATTAGCCCTTGAAAAATGCCATCATTTCAAGGAAATAGCAGCAGTACCGATGGGTGATGCTAAAGCCAGCTGTCTCAGGCAACAAATGCACCAAACAACAACAAAACCAAAGTGGGAAGCCCAGGAAAGTGAAGTTGGGACAACCTTTCTCCAGCTAATAAAATTATTGCTTGCCATCCACAGTTTACAATTCCCTGACCACCACTAAACACCTGGCAAATACATTGCTTGGACAAAAAGGCATCATCTCTTACCGGGTTTGGGGATAAGTCCTTGAAAAGGCCTGTGAAAAATAAGAAAAAAAGGAGATTTAAAATGAAATGGTACTGGGAAGCCAGCATGCCTGGACAGAACACCCTCCTATGGCCCAGGGAAGGCTGGGAATCAGCCTGTCCTTCACATGCTGTGGCACGACTCATGGGGGACAGCAGGAGCTCTGCGGGGATGAGATCTCTGCTTGGGGCAGCATGTACCCTGTTGGTAAGAAGACAGGCAGCACGGTCCAGCAAGAGGGTGATGGAGTCACTCTTAAAAGTCCATTTTTTCCCCCGTGTCACCTTAGTGTGATACACAGCTAAAGTGCTTTTCCCCTCCCACTTGTGTCCGTCCCCTCCGGATGCGAAACTAAGAGGACCCTGCTATATGAACAGGCAGTGCTAAAGGACTTCCCTTCACCAGCAATTATCTGCCTCATGCCTCCTAAAAAAGAGGCTGAGAGTTCTCTGCTTGCACATCAATCGCACCGAGAACCTTTTTCTCCTGATAGTGCCTGCCCCACTATCTCCCTGGGCAGCAAGTGGGAGGAAAGAGCGGGAGTGTCCATTTCATGGTCCCCTCCTTTCTGTTGACCCTAGCTGTCAATTTAATTGCTGCCTTGGGGGGCTGGAGGCACTTACAGCATTTACAGACCTGCCCCAGCGGGGCTACAAAGCAGAGGGTGCATTTAGGTGGGCTCCCTCCTTTTCCCCTTCATGGGGCAGCTGACACTTCTTGCCATGTACCTTGTCACAGTGAACTTGATTTTATCAGCAACAGCTAGTATCCTCTCCAGGTTTTGTGAGCCGAAGGTGCAGGGCTTCCGGAAGGGGATCCCAGGGGGCAGACCCTCTATAATCACTGACCCTGGATTGCTCTTGATCCGCTTGTATGGCACTTGCACAGGGTATTTGATCCCCAAGGCCTCACCTGGGAGAGAAGAGAGTGGTAAGTAAGCAGTGAGTGTGTGGGATGCCAGGGATACCATTTCTGCCGAGGTTCTGGCTCCATCCCTACCCCACCAAGGCACAGAACAGCGTGGGCAGGCTGCTTGAGGCACCAGGTCAGCATTAGATCAAGGACCAACATTTTCAGGCTGCCTCCATGATGGCAGTAGAGAGATCCCAAGACAGGCACATGTGCAGCAGAGCTAGTGGGGCCGAAGAGAGGTATCGTCCTGCACAGTGATGACCATGCACTGCAGTGGGAGGGATGGAAAGCTGCTGCTCTTTGCTTTGGGACATTATTTGGAGATAACTCCATAGGCATGTTTCCTCTCTAAGGTAGCTTGAAACATGCACAAGTCTTACCCCTGCCTAGAAAATGGGGTGTCCTGGTTCCTGCCAGGAGAGGGTTAATTTTTGCAGTAGCCAAGAGGGGCCTTAGCTAAGACCTGGAGATCTTAGGTCACAATGTTGCTTGGGTCTGTTCACCTGGTTGTGGTACCTAACCCTGCGCAAACTCCCGTATATGAACATCATGCTCCTCACAGTGCTCTTTTTCAGAGCAGGTAGAAGGATCAGCATTGCTGCTTTTTTGCTGTACTATGTGACATCAGCTTATGACATGATAACATAAAAGGCAGTGAGGGTCATTTGGGATGTGTCTTCAGTGTTGCTCTCTTGCCCTGGCCTTCGATGGGCTCTGCCTCCAGCCAGGTGGAGGAAAGGCACAGTCAGAGCTATTGGACTGTGTGGATCCGATGGCCTGGCACACCAGACCCACAAGAGCACAAGGCTTTAGTTGACACCGGTGTACAATGTACCCTGATGCCATCAAGACATGTAGGGACAGAATCCATCTCTATTTCTGGGCTGACAGGGGGATCCCAAGAGCTAATTGTGCTGGAAGCTGAAGCGAGCCTGACTGGGAAATAATGGCAAAAACACCTCCTTGTGACTGGCTCAGAGGCCCGGTCTATCCTCGGCATAGATTACCTCAGCAGAGGGTATCTCAAGGACCCAAAATGACATTGTTGGGTCTTTGGGACAGCTGCTGTGGAGACAGGAAATTAAACAGCTGAATACCATGCTTGGTCTCTCAGAGGACTCCTCTGTTGTGAGATTGCTGAGGGTTGAAGAACATCAGGTACTGATCTCTACCACAACAGTGCACCTTTGACAATATTGTGACCCCCATCCCTAAGATGATTCGTGAACTTGAGAGCCAGGTCAGCAAGACCTTTTTGGTGGGTTGACCTTGGCTGGGCACCAGGTGCCCACCAAAAGCCACTCTATCACTTCATCCCAGCTGGACAGAGGAGAGAAAATAAGATGGAAAATTACTCATACGTTGAGATAAGGCAGTTCACTAAAGCAAAAGTGAAAGTTTGTGCACACACAAGCAAAGAGGAAAAAAAAAGGTTTATTCTCTGCTTCCCATCAGCAAGCAATGTTCAGCCACTTCCTGGGCAGTGGGGCTTCTGCACGTGTGGCAGTTGCTCAGGAAGACAAACATTGTAAATAATGAATGCCCCCCTTCCTCCTTAGCTCCTGTCATTAGCTTTTATGTCTGAGCTGACATCCTATGGTATGGGATACCCCTTTGGTTAATTTGGGCCAGCTGGCCCCTCCCAGGATCTTGCCTATCCCCAGCCTATTGATGGGGGCAACGTTGAGAGACAGCGCTGATGCTGTGGGAGCACTGTAGCCAAAATGCTGGTGTGTTATGAACACCTTTCTAGCTACCACTGCAAAGCACAGCACTGGGACAGCTGCTATGGGAAGATGAACTCCATCTCAGCCAGACCCAATACACCCTTTAATAGCCCTATATGGCCAGTGCATAAGTCCAGTGGAGAGTGGAGACTGACAGTGGACTATTGTGGCCTGAAAGAAGTCACAGCACCACTGATGACGCTGTGCCAGACATGCTGGAACTTCAATACAAGCTGGAGTCCAAGGCAGCCAAGTGGTGCCACTGTTGACATTGCTAATGAGTTCTTCTCCATTCCTTTGGCAGCAGAGTGCAGGCCACAGTTTGCTTTTACTTGGAGGGCTGTTCAGTACACCTGGAACAGACTGCTCCAGGGCTGGAAACACAGCCTCACCATTTGCCATGGACTGATCCAGACTGCACTGGAAAAGGGTGAGGTTCCAGAACACCTGCAGTACATTGATGACATTATTGTGGGGGGGAACACAGCAGAGGCAGATTTTGAGAAAGGAAGAAGATAATCCATATCCTCCTGAAGGCTGGTTTTGCCTTAAAACAAAGTAAGGTCAAGGGACCTGCCCTGGAAATTCAGGTTTTAGGAGTAAAGTGGCAACATGGACACTGTCAGGTCCCAATGGATGCAGCTAACAAAACAGCAGCTGTGTCCCCACCAACCAACAAGAAGGAAACACAGACTTTCCTGGATGCTGTGGGTTTCTGGAAGATGCATATTCCAGATTACATTCAGATTGTCAGCCCTTTCTATCATTTGACACAGAAGAAGAACAATTTTAAGTGGAGTGCTGAACAACAACACGCTTTTGAACAAATTAAACAGGAGGTTGCCCATGCAGTAGTCCATGGGCCAGTCAGGACAGGACAGGATGTAAAAATCGTACTCTACACTACAGCTGGGGAGAATGGTCCTTCCTGGAGCCTCTGGCAAAAAGTACCTAGGCGGACTCGAGGACAAGCCCCAGGGTTCTGGAGTCAGGGATACAAAGGGTCCAGGACCTGTTACACCCCAACTGAAAAAGAGATCCTGGCAGCTTCTGAGGGGTTGGAACCACTTCAGAAGTGACTGGCACCAAAGCACAGCTCCTTCTGGCACCCTGACTGCCCGTACTGGGCTAGATGTTCAAAGGGAAAGCCCCTTCCACATGATCCACGTAGAGTAAGTGGATTGCTCTGATCACTCAGCAAGCTCAGCTAAGAAACCCCAATTGCCCAGAAATCTTGGAGATCATCACAAACTGGCCCAAAAGTGAAAATTTCAGATTATTACCAGAGGAGGATCAGGTGACATGTGCTGTGAAGGCCCCACCATATAATCAGCTTCCAGGAAATGAAAGGTGACACACACTGTTCACCGTTGGTTCCTGCCGTATTGTAGGGACACACTGAAAATGGAAAGCTGCCGTATGGAGTCCTATGGTGGTGAGTCGCAGAAGCTCCTGATGGACAAGGTGGATCAAGTCAGGTTGCAGAGCTGAAGGCTGTCCAGCTGGCTTTAGATATCACTGAACAAGAGAAATGGCCAGTGCTCTATCTCTGCACTGACTTGTGGATGGTGGCAAATGCTCTGTGGGGGTGGCTGGACCAATGGAAAAAGGCCAATTGGCAGCACAGACGGAAACCCATCTGGGCTGCTGAACTGTGGCAAGGCATCACTGCCCAGGTAGAGAAGGTAGCTGTACAAGTATGTCAAGCAAAGGCAAACCCACCCATGGGATCATTTTTGCTCAAGGACCTGGGTGCACTTGGTGGGTGATGCAGAGCGACAAGGAAACACAATGTGTTTGGGGATTTGACTTTTGGGCGAGAACAGTCTCTAATGTTGAATCGTATAATACTAGTTGCTGAATGACACTGCCACTGTCTGCTACAACTACCATGGACAGTGAGGATGGGCTGCTGCAGATATACCAGCTGTGAGCTCCTGATGCAGCTTGCAACCAGCTGACAGCACACCAGCCCTCCTGCTCTGGAAGACATCTAGGATGGATAGAATCCACAGTCATGGACTAAATGAACTCAACAGACATTTTGGAGTGATGCCCATTGACTATGGAAAGGATACCTATACTTGTATATATACATATATATATATGTATATAGTTGGAAAGTGTAGGATTTCAGCATGACATAGACGGTATAGAATAAGGGGAGGATAATGTCCTGGTTCCATCCAGGACAGGATTAATTTCTGCAGTAGCCAGAGGGGGCAAGGCCAGGACCCCGAGGTTATTCTGTACCACCTCACATTATTTTCTGGGGGATAGGGAAGGGGTCCCTTCTGGTGGAGTAAGCGTGGCAGAGGGAGCAGTCAGATAGCACCAATTCCCTCTGTTCCTGATATTGTAACTGTTACCGTTCATTTTCTTATTCCACTGCTGTTTCTAGTAAATATCAACCCATGATCTTTACCCTTTGTGCCTCTAATTCTCCTCTCCATCCACATGCAGGGGGAGGAGGACTGGAAGGGAGGAAGGAGCGAGCAAGCAGCACATGGTTTTCAGTGCTTCAGTGGGAACACTAAATTGGGGAAGACTATTTCTAAACCACGACATGGGGATAACAGCATTTCCCTGCCCTGGGGACAGGAGGGGCAGCATCTACTTGTCCCCTACTGCTTCTGCGGGTGCTCAGTACAGCCTGTTCTTATTCTCTTCCCAACCTCCCACCACCCCTGTTGCTCCCAGCAGCAAAGAGCACCAATTCCCAGAACTGCCATTCCTTTCTGGCCCTCCAAGGTGTCGGTGGCTCAAGGGGGAGTTGAAAGAAAGTACCTGGCAAGGAGGAATCAGGAGGAGAGGGGAGAGACAGGGAGCAAAGAATTAGGAGGGAATATGGGGGGAATAAAACCAACTCCCTGCCTGGTTTCTCACCGTATTTCTTATTGAACAGGTCCTGGACTTGTTCCCGCAGCGTGTTAGCAATGTCTATTCTGGAAAGCCTGGCATCATAATTTTCTGTAAAATAAAGAATCAATTATGGACTTCTACTGGTAAATTAAAAGGCACTCTGTGACTTTTAAGTAATGCCATTTTCTAATTATAGGAAAGTCCTTATCTTGCAATTAGCTAATCTCTGGAGTGGGCTATTCAAAGTCCTTAAAAATAATCTAAACAGAAATATGGGGCTTTTTCCTCTGCCTGTTTGCTAAGAATAAAAGCCACATGAAATTGAAGATTCAGTTGCGATAATTACCTGTGTTAAAATAAAACACACTCCAAAGCCTCTTGGAAAAGCCAAAGGCTTTGAAAAGGCTCCCTCCCTGTGCAAACCCTTGCAGGCCTCCAAGGCCCAAGAAGGGATGCTTGAGCAAGGGCAGCATTTGCCTGCCCAGCCCACAGGCTTCTCACCATCACTTCCCCCAAGGGAGCCACCACATTGTTGCCGGTGCATGCTGAACTCGAGTGGCATTTATACAGGTATCACCCAGGCGGAAAAAGCCCCAGAAAAGGCAAACCCCGAGGCTTGGAAACTTAATTATGCATCTCACAAGGTCAGACAGGGAGATAACCAAAGTGGGTTAATCAGGGCACCATGCAGAGCAGTTTGAGCTTCTTTCTTAGACCTGTGGGACTGCCTGTCCCAGCTGTACATCTTGTTTTCCAGTTGCCCATCCTCTCATCCCACTTCCTCTCCTTCCTCCCAGTCTTGCCTTGCTCTTCTGTCAACCCACCAAGCCCCAACACCCGCAACGCTCCCTTCTCACACTTTTTTGTCACGTGCAGCCCCTGCAGTGGGCTAGGGGCTCTGCCTCAGCCCCCACAGATGCCTCCAGCCCCCCACCTTGAAAGCCCTGTCTCTTCACAGCGTCCTCCATCAGCACCTCGCTCGAGTCCCTCTCGCTGGCGGCTGAGACAGGGGACATAAGAGGAATTAGGATTTGCAGTGCTGCCAAGGGGGATGCACGGGAGAGGGGTTTCCAGCCAAAAAATGAGGTGGAGAGATAAGGCAAGAGAAACGCTGTATGAAATCACTCCTCTCCTACCTAGCCCTTAATGGCCCAGCTGCCAGGCGTCTCTCAACCTACCTTTGGCTGCTGGGCTGTCCGACGCTGGCTCCTTTATGCCCTCTGCCAGCAGCTCAGGTCTGGAAAAAAAGGGAGAAGCAGAGGGCACATGACTGATCTTCCTGGCCAGTGAGACTCTGCTGCTTCAGCATCCCCAGGACCACCACTCCTACAGCCACAAACCACTCACCCTGTCTAACACCATTTTAAAAGTTCCTGCAATGCAACAGGAGAACTTTGGACATAGTTTTCACACTGACAGACTCTATAATGAACTGATGCGGTGCTCCCTGGGATGAGATTAATCAAGTGATGACTGAACAGCTTAAGTCAGCAGCTACAGACTTTTAGTGGACATGGTCCTGAACATTTCTCAGGGATGGGAGAAACTGTGCATGGCTCCTTTCAACATACAATTGGCCCCAAAAATTTTTACCTTGGTACCTAATGCTAAAACTGCACAGTGAGGCAATAGCAAGGCTTGTTACAAGCTGCACTGAAGCTGTATCACTAAGAAATGGGTCCACGATCAGGACAAAAGAAACCCCAAAGTATGGTTGGGCTGGTCTGGGAGCTGCTGCTCTGACACCACAAAATCTCCATGCTCCCAATGTTTATTTTCTGTTTCAGCCAGTGTTTATTTTCTGTTTCAGCCACCCGCTGCATTGGTTGTGCCAGCAGTTGGGTGAGAAACATCACTAAAATACCCAAAACATCTTAAAATCCATCTCTGCTGGATCTGTTCCCTCTTTCAGGGCAATGTTACCATGTTACATTGGTTGGGCTCCTCACAGCCCTCTCACAGTTCTTATGACACCCCCCCTTCTCCTTCTCCACACAGGGTTGGCATCTTCCCTGATGTTTGCAGCTACCTCATTTTCTGTGGGAAGACCCCTCAGGGCTCCCAGCCCCTCTCCTTGTCCCACACCAAGGCACCCTGAAGTTTAAAGGCTCCCCCACTGTTGCAAGCTCCCTGCTGCTGTGGCCAACATTTGCAAAAGCAGGTTAAAAACCCAACAGACATCAAGGGACAGATGACAACACCACTGTTGCCTCCCACAGATGGCTCCAACGAGGCAACAACTCCTGCTTCTAATCAAGCAAATTTATTGAAGGTGACCAAGAGATGGATGTTCCCCAGGACACTGCACAGCAGCAGGAGCTCTGAGCAGAAACATCCTCCCCAAGGGATCGCCACGCCACCCACCTTACCTTTTAATGACAAACTGGATGTTGTTGCTTGCTTGCAGGATCTTCTTCAGCTTTGCAATCCCGAAGCAGTTGGGGCGGCGCAGTAGGATGCCTTCTGGCAAGCCCACAACAAACAAGTCCTCAGGGTACATCAGGAACTTGGAGTAGGGGACTTTGACCGGCTCTGATATTCCTATGGCTTTCGCTGCATGGGGACCCAATCTCATTAGTTTGCTGGGCCTCTGTGTCAGGTCACAGCAACAGCAACAAGGCATGTTGGTGGAGGTTTTGGGGGAGTTTATTGTCACTCTGTGCCTGGTGGGGATGACCCTGGTGGGGATGTCCCTGACACTGGCAGACATGAGAAGAGGGACAGAGCCAGGCAGCCAGCTGGAGCTGGCTTTTGCATTTGCTACATTATCACAGCCTGCCTTCCTAAAAAGGCTGCAAGCAATGGGACCCCACATTCAGACTCCCATGGAAATCCCTCTCCTAGGTGAGGGGACAGGGAATATGCCTGGTGGTACACCATGAAGCCCAGTATGGTGAGGGCTCCCCTTGCTCTGCTAAATATTGCCAAAAGTAACTGAGCAGCCAATGCCAAGCAGCACTGTTCAGGCAGAGATGATAAACCAGGACAAAACCCCACCAGTGTGGATGACAACTCCCAGTCTGTTATTAAAGCATGGGGTGCAGTGAGGACCATCACTCTGATGGCCATTTCAGCTGCATCCCCAGTGCCCAGCCCTGCCCAAGAGCATCCTGGCCCTTCTTTCCCTGGTTACAATGGGCTCTACAAGCCCAGGGGATGCAGCTCCGCTCTGCCTTCAACTTGTGAGGACTGCCAGGCAGACCCACATCTCCTGGTCCTACCAGTGGCAAAAACTTTCTGCCAGCTCTCAAAATGCATGTGTGACCTCACTTGTACTTTTTCTCAATTAAATAACCTCTCTAAGAAGAGGTGAGCAGAGCACGCTGAGTGCCAGTCCACACCATCAAGGTGCCATCAGCCTTTCTGAGCTATGCAATGACCACCTTGAGTGGAAAACCCTCTCTGACATTTCAAACAAGTGATGCTGGAACCATGCTGGACCTTTCCTCCATGGGAGAAAGGCTGAAGGCCACAGCAGCAATTCCTGGGCTGCAGTCAGTGAAACAGCATTGAGGAAACTAAAGGAAAGAGCTGCAATAACAAGGTCTGAGGAGATTTCAAATGCATTTGTAAATCCAGCAGACAGCAAACAAACAAATTAGATAGCACCTTCACTCAGCTGCTGGTTTGGAAATGGTAGGTGACAAGGCCGACACTCGGCATGATGAAATGTGTTAATGACCATCTTACCGTATCGTGAGTTGAACAGAATTTCAACTTGTTTCCTCAAATGACTTAAAACATCCCCTATACCATCTGCAAAAAAAAAAGAACATACCAATAGAGAGAACTGGTCTGAGCAACCAGCTGCTTCAGGAGAGTAAGCACCGCACGGCACAGGTGAGCAGCCCCTGACCTCTGGCAGAGCCGGCTGCGCACTCCTCACGCCCGCAGATCAGTGCCAGACCTCTGACAGCTGCATCCAAGCTCATCCCCTAGCAAAGAAGGGCAGGGATGCACCTGCCACAGAGCGGTGGTAGCAGCCAGAAATGAAAAAAAATGGTAGAAAAGTAAATCCAGCAAGAGAGGGGAGGACAGAGCCCAGGAACATGGCAGTGCCCTTCTGTGCTGAGGTTCTGGAGGCTGAAGGCTTTGCTGATAACATAGAAAGCCCACAAAACTGAACCCAAAATACATCTGTGTTCATCCATCCTTCCAAAAACCTGCAATGATGGGCAATGCTCAGAGTTCACCGTAGACTCACCTGATCCCTCCATCTGCCTTTCTTCACGTCGAGACTCCTCACTTGGCCCCTTCTCTGCCTCTGATGAGGAAGAATAGGGTAAGCAGTAGTAGGCACCAGCAAAACCACACCAGATGAGCAGGAGTTCTCTGTGTGCCCTACAGCCACTCAAATGCTCCCTCCCCTCACTAAGCTCTGAACATGTGTCCCAGCAGAAGTTGGGCTTGGTACCAGCATGCCAGGAGTTGCATCAGCAGAATAACTCATTGCCTACATACAAGAGGTCTGTCTGCCCTTCAGTATGGGCTCCTTGGGAGAGGAGAGACCCAGCAGGAGCAAGGGAAGCCACTGGGCCAGCACACATTCCACAGGTAAATCCCAGGCATGAACCAGGAAGAGGAGCTGGGATTTGCAGAATGCTGGGAGCTGGGAAGGAACAGCAGTGCCAGAAAAGCCACTAGTTAGTTCACCGGAGCTCCCAGCTGGCCTGATTGAGGCCAAGATTCTGGAATTGGGTTCCAACTCCACCACTTTGGCTCAGAAATGGTATTTACTCATTTCTGACACATGCGCGAACACCGGTGCCACCACACGGCCTCCCACATGCTTCATTTCTGGTACCTGCTACTGTTTCCAGGATGTAGCTCGACTCCTCGGAGGCCACCTGTGTGGGCACAGGGTCGTGCATCTCATCTAAACCAGGTGATCGGTCTGCAGACAAAAATCCATGGGCACCTTTTGTTCTGATGCCAGGGACACACTGTCCCCAAAACAGGGTTCAGAAGGTCCTGACCCATCAGCAAAGACCGAGCGAAGGGCCTCCCACTTCTGAGAGCCCCACACGCCACCAGAAGCTGATCTGGGGATGCATCTGCCTTCTTCCTCCCCAGAACCACCCAAAGCTCATCCCTGAAACACACTCAACCACTCAGCCTGAGAAGCAAAAGCCTCTTCCTAACCTCTACAGAAGGCAAAGAGCAAAAATACTTCAAAATTATTTACTTGGCTTAATTCCATATAGACACTCAATTTTGGTTAAAAAAGTTAATGCTGCTAAACTTAGCTACTACACAGGGGGAAACCATTCCACTTACACTGCTTTCCTCCAAAAAATCACCCCTCTTTGGGCTTCCCTTACGCAATTTGTCTGCCCTCTTCTGTTAAATCTGTCTTCCCACATGCTAGGCTCTCCAATGCCCTCAAAGAGCCATCCAAATTAATCTTCAAATAAAGTTATAGCTAGTTTATACACTTCAATCAGGTCACTTCTGACCTCACAGGAAAAATAATCCCAATTTCATCAATTTTTCCCTGCAGGTGAGAACCTCTTTTCTATTAGTCCTCCTCCCTGTCCTCAGCTGCATTCCCTCTGATTGTACTCGATCTTCAAATAAGGTAAAAAAAGGTGGACTCAGGACTTGGACTATGATCTCCCTGGCACTGGAGAAGTGGTAATTACTCCCCCTCCTCCTGCTCTACACATTAGCTTCCTTCTCTTTCATTAGCTGCCAAGTTGAAAATTAAAATGTTTGACGTACCACTATACCTTGTTCCTTCTTCTTCCCCTATATTAACCATAGATAAGTCCACCCTACACCAATCCTGGAGTGAATCTCCTTACTATCTTACTACCTTACTGAGGGGACTGCTACAATTTGGGTGCAACAGAGGTGAAACACTGGTGCAGTGGGGCTGGGTGTCACTGCTGTCCCCAGCATTGCTCACCCTCAGGCATGTTTGAGTCCTGTTGTTGCCCTTATTCTGGTGAGATTATTAATTAATGGTTGTAAAGCACACTGAAAATGCAAACTGCTAACAATCCACTCATTAAACCCTGAGAATCATCCCACCGTTTGCTGTACTGTCCAGGTCAGGTAAGTAGAAAAAAACTCTCGCAGTTGCCCCTCAAGCACCTCATCTCCATGACCACCCATTGACACTGACCTCTGTGGGCAAAAATGCAGGGAATTTCCCCCATCAATGTCAACAATTCCAACACATTTTCAGCACATGCTTAATATTAAACCTGCATTAAGCAGGTTAGACCTGTTTTTATGAACTCTTCATAACCAAGCTGGTTTTCTAAATGAAGGACCTCATCAAAAGCATCCTGCACTCAACACCTGGGATCCCCTAAGCCCATGTGTGAAGGAAAGCAGCAAACCAGGCTCGCTTTCTCCAAGGGAAAGGCAAGATAGGAAAGCAACGAAGGAGAGAGAAAAACAACAAAGAACCCTAAAACACCTACCAATGCTCCCAGGAAATCTCAATATGCTCCTTAAAATGACTGTCAGTGAAGGAAGACCGTTGCACGTGCACAAGGGAACCTTTTGTGCTGGGAGATACCCTGCTAACGCCTCTTCTCAAAGCAAAATGCTGAGACATGATGCGGCAGCCCTGCCTGCGCAGCGGCCACTGCACACAGACGGTACCCCAGCAGCTACCTGGTACGGTGATCTGGATGATGTCCAGCTCGTCTGGTTCGATTTTGATCTGCCTGATCCCACCTAGCTCTCCTGAGGTACCTATGGGGAAAGGCAACGGAAGGCAGTCGCCAACAGGATCCAGCAATGCCATGTGTGCCCACCAATGCAGGGAAAGTGTGGCCGGCTGTGACGTCAATGCCAACTGAGTATCCCGCATCAACAAGGCTTTGGCCAAGTGGCCCAGTGGCATCAAGCCCACGACATAGAGGTACCCAAAAGGACATCTGTAGGCATGGCTTCTGCAAACAGGTCAGCTGGCAGGAGCTGTTGGGGCCCTCAAAGTGGCTGCTGGCCCTTGTTATATGCTTGTTTCCTGGTTTTCTTCACTTAAAATGAACTGGGCCACCAACAGGCATTGGTGGGGACACAGAGAAGCTGTTTCCAGTGAGTGCTTTTGGCATTTTTAATGCTCCCAAATACCTAGAACATGCTCCTGTTCTGAGAGGGCTGACGGCAGCTGCATCACACCAGGATGTGACCAGTTGAACTCCTACAAAATGCAGCATGGTTTCAACCCCAGTGGATGGGAACCTATGCTAACAGGCTGCCCCAGGAAGAGGCTGCCCCAGGAGGAGGCTGCCCACAGTGCTTAATCCGCTTCCTTTTATCTCAGGATAAACTTCCTCACTTAGGATGGGATGGATCCACTGCAAGAGGCAGAGTTCCAGCTTGCAGCTTGGGCAAGCAAGACAGCAAGGCTTGGTGTGGTGTTTCAACAGGTCAAAACTACTAAATTTGGGGAAAAGCACTTCCTTCTCATTTGTGGTGCTCAGAACACTGACACCTATGACTTCTAAGTGATGGCTTTCAAAGGAACTGAGACTGATGACTTCCTTTTGCTTTGCATTTAAGCATGTGCTTAAGCCTCATTATTTCAATTTATGCACTTTGACCTCCCCAGCTGGAGGGTCACACGGTAAGAGCCTTCATCTCTGCATCTATTGAATGGGGATAAAGTTGTTAGAGAACTGTACTGTGCCGCAATCAGATGTCACACATCCAAGTTACTTTGCAGGCATCTTTCTCTAGTTTGTCCCCCAATATCACTGTTTTGCAAGAGAAAATGAATTATTCCTCACCTGGTTCACAGCTTTCAGAAACACTACACTTCTCAGACCTGGAAGGGAAAGGCAGACAAGAGAGGTGGTCAAGGAACAAGAAAAGACAGACACAGTGGTGTGTGTAGAACCAATCCTGGCAGGAGGGATGTACGAATAGGTACCCCTTTTTGGAAGAATTTGTAATGGGAAAATTAGAGCTTAATTAAATGTCGCTTAGGGAGACTTTTTGCCTAAGAAGAAACCCCTTTTTCAAGGATGGGGGAAGTGTTTCTTTCCCTCCTGTGTCCCAGAGAGGAAGCAGCAGTTTCTCTCTCTCTGGTCTGAGGAGAGATAAACCCTCGTGGTGTTACAGGATGTGACTGCCTGGAGGCTGGGGAAGGGAGGCCAGAGAAGATAAGAAGCCCGCAAAAGATCAGGAGGCATTACTTTCTCAGGCCCAGCACTCCCACTGCTGGTGCAGAATATTCTTTGTGAGTTTCTAGGGTTCTTGCCTTTGAATAAACCTTTTTGAATTCTTTCCACTGATTTAGCATTTTGGGGGAATAGCTGCATGTATCTTACTTCACAAGGGGAAACCCTGCCTTCCATCATAGAGGGCTGCAAGAGCTGAGGACAGGTCCTCAGGGTCACTGCACCCAAGGTCCCAATAGTGGCACGGCATCCATGATTGCAAGGAAAGACATGGTCTGTGAGTTTCTCTGTGAATAAGCCCTGCCGTCAAATCCACCCTGGTCCTGCTACCCCACTGATGGCAGTCCTGCCTCTAGACACTCACAGATGGAACCACAGCAGAGAGCTCTGGAAAGCAAGAGACATTTTAAGCCTGAAACCTGGTTGGCTCCATCCCTTTGTGACAGAGAGGAGTGCATAAGGTATCATTACAATGTGGTTACTCATGGAGCTAAAGCAAAGAGGGATAAAAGAAAAAACTCAATTGATTTGGTAAATATTTTTACTGCTCAAAGCCTTTTTTCCCCAAAACCTGGGCACTATCCCAATCTCCCATCTACAGTTAACTTCACATGCTCAGGAATTTACACAAGGTGTTCAGCATCCAAATGAGATTATTTAGCATTCTCAGGATGTGTATGCTTTCTGTCTCTCTCTTAAACAAGAACAACCATGGCTCTTTGGCAGTAAGGAACCCAAGGAACCACTCTGGAAATGCACTTCTTCCCCAGTGTTGGTCCTTCATGGGGAAGGAAAACCCTTCTGAGCCAGTGCAATACCCCTATTGGCTTAGGAGTGATGTTCAAAACCACTTCTCACTCGCCTAAATCCACTCAGCAGTGTCAGCAGAACAAACCACAGAACAAGCCAGGAGTATTCTTGAAATGTTCTTCCTAAATGTGGTATTTGTAGAAAGGATCACTGGTCTAGAAGGTGAGCCTTGGAAATGGTTTTAAACTCTCCCACTTCAGGTCAAAGTCAACCTTTTACCAAGGAAATTTGGGAGGAGGGCTTCCATGGGGAGCACGTTACCCCTCACCGTGTCTGGTCTTTCTCCTGGAGTATTGGGCACTGCCCTTTGCCTGGAGTAGGACTCCGATCTGAGTGGACCATTGCTACGGAAATGCTCCTACCAAGGCACAGAGGTTCCTCATTTGCAGGAAGAACAAAGTAAAATCTCCTGCAAACCCTCCTTTGAAGCTGAAGATACCCAGAAGGCTGGAGACAAATGCCAGTCCTGTGGACTTGGCAGGTCAGGAAGTCTCTGCCCTCCGAAGATGGAGATTTCAGTGCTGGGCACATTGCTGGGCTCACTTGTTGCCTGCCCTACTGATGCAGGCTCCCCTGCCCGGAGCATGCACAGCTTAAGGGGCATGTGGCAGCCACATCCAAGGGGACAAACCTGAAACAGCACTGAGGAGAACCAGAGGAGACTCCAGCCTGTCACAGGTTCATGTCAATGAAAAGCCAAGAAATGAGAGGAACCCAAGAGATGTCATGGAGGAGACAAGTCACCCTGTATCCCATCCTGACCTGCAGAACTTATCAACCGCATAGCACAGTCAACAGCTCCAGCTGGTGGAGCTATCAGTGCTGGGTAGTGAGGTTTTGTGATGGAAAGGCTGAAGAGCACTTCTCACCCCATCCATGACTGAGCCTGCTGTGTGAAGCAAGGCCAGGAGAAGGCTCCTTGTCTTAGAGCAGTTTATACTGCTATAAACTGATGCCCTGCCTCTTTTCTTCAAAGTGATTTTAAAGACTAAATTATACCTTGCTTCCATTGAAGCAAGAATGAAGGAATCTGGGGCTATACAGAGAAAAACACCTCCTGGATCTCCTAGTCTGGGTTGGAAAGCTGTATGCTATGCCTATATGTTCCACAGGCACTGCCAGCACGGACCTGTCTAGCTTGTGGCATCACTGCAACAGAAACAGGTACTCTTATAAAAAGTTTCCTGCTCTGCTGAACTCTATAACCCAGTCTTTATTAAATCTACTCTTAGTCTCCCTGTGAGCTTTATAAGCAAGCAACACTTAATTAGCAGGATGCTGTCATGGTGTGGGCTGAGGGTGAATCCTTAGGTCATGTTTTAACACCAGAGGGCTCCAACAGATAACCCATGCCCAGGCATGGCCCCGATTTCATCGGTTTTGTTCAAAATCAATGATTCCAAACTTTTGGCTTGCAAAAGGACAGGGCTGCTTGGCCTCCTCCTGTGCAGGTTAGCTGTACCATTACAGTGGGATTTTAAGAAGGCAGGAAAGTAACATCAATTCATCATCACTCACCTTCCCACCATGGACCTACATGGACCTGATGCTGCAGCTTACTGAATTACATCCATGGCAACCTCCTGCATGCATTGCACACTGCTGATGGATACAGCAGTAACCTGCTTTGCACACTAACACTCCCCAAATAGCTCTGAGGAATGTCACTTGGCAGGGGACAGGGTCGGAAGTCTCACTTACCTGCTGTTGGCCTGAGAGGTCCCCGCCAGGTCAAGCACAGCCCCGCGGTGTGGCTCAGGGGAAATCTCCCGGGGGGGGCTGGAGGGTTCCAGCTTGGTTGGATCTTTGGTAAATTTGCTTCCTGGTGCCAGGTGCGCATGGCAGGTTTTGGGAGGAAAAGCAAAAACAGAATTAGCAACTGGACATGTCAATGATGGAGCTTGGTCCCCTCCTAGTCCCAGAGCTGAGGTCAGAGTGGGGGACAGGTTTTCAAGTGTCACCTGCTTGCAAAGAGACAGGTGCAGATTTAATTTGGTTTACATGTTAAAATAATAGCAAGACATTTGCTTAAACCTCTGCATTAACTATGTGTGTGTTGAGAAGCCCTGCCAGGGTTGAGCATCTCCTGAAAGGGCTGGCTGCCAGGACAAGGTTCCAAGAGGTAGGGACTAGGGTCAGAAAACCCAGGGCCAGGGACCAGTACTGTAGGAACTAACCTTTAAGTGGGGACAGCCCTGTTCCAAGGAAAGGGATGGGCTGCACTGGATAGGAGCTTGGCAAAACCCAGAGTATCAGTGATACAGGCAGCCCTGTCGTGCAGCTCCAAGCCCCACAGGCAGTGACACCAAGAGGAATGAAAGTATCCCATCACCATGAAAAACCTCCTCTCTCCCTTCCCTGTTCCTCAGCAGCCTGAAAGGAGCTGAAATGAAGCCTCAGCAATGACCTTGGAGATGAAAAGAGTAATCTGAAGGCAGGGTAGGAAGTGCAATAAGGCAGGGAAGGTGAGCAAAGAGCTGAAGGATGAGGGCTGGGGGAAGGAGAGAATGAGATTACACTGTGAGGCTGCAGAAACCACAGAGGTGTCTTGTTAAACAGCTGCTGCCAAAGGCCCTTTGCTGGTCTCAAAGCACCATTGCAATATCCCCACCTTCTAAAACATATCTCATCCATGGCAATGTGAATCCTCTGTCCCTTTGGTTCCTGCCTGCCAGGAAGGGCAGGGTTCTGGCAATGGGACCAGCAGCAATACAGAGCCTTAAAGACACTATTTATCTACCGACAGTCCAAAGGGCTCCTTTTAATTTGTGCTTTCTATGGACCAAATCTTGTTCTTCCAGCAGCAGAGCCTGCCTGAAGCTGCTACCCAGGGGAGGAGCAAAAATAGGTTTCCAAGCAGTAGTAGGTATTTTAATGAAAGGGCGAGCAAAATTGTAGGGGGAACCTTTGAGATACTTTGCACTTGGCAACTTAAAATACAGCTTCACTCAGAAAATAGCGTCTCTGCAGAAATGGCACCTCCTGACTCAGCAGATGCTTTTTTTTTTTTTGCACAGGCTGATGTGCTGATGCAAACCACAAAAAGACAGGTTTAATGGGTTTTGCTTCTAGTAGCCCTGCAGGGACCAGTCAAGAGAGATAACCTGCTACCCACCCCAGTTCTGCTGGTTTTGCTTCTTCGTTTCCTAATTTCTACTTGCAGCTCCCTGCGATGTAACCCCTGAGCTCACAGCACAGTGCTCTCCATCAGCAGCTCCTGAGCTGATGTACAGATGTACATGATGCCTCCCCCAGACACTGTGCAGCCATTATGCAAGGAAAACCCAAGCATCCCAAGACACAGTTCAGTGCGCCATCCCTTGGGGATGGGTTAAAGCTTAAAGAAATCCTTTTCTTGAGAAAAAAAAGCCAAAAATTACTTTAGACAAAGAACCCCCTCATGCAGGTGGGGACCCCTTCAGGCTCTGCCGGAGGTCTCCTTTGGGTAGCTTCAGCATCATCATGCCCAGGGAGCAATGTTAGGGCTGGGGCTGTCATGGGACCAGAGCGATAATTTGGCTGGCAGAGATATCTGAGAAGAAGGTGTCTGGAGAGCTGCAAGTGTGTGTGTGGTTGGCAGCTGAGAGAAAAAAAACAAACAATACCCCAACACCTCAAGCCCAGGTGATCCAGGAGCAGGGCTGGGCATGATAAATTTGGATGCGGTGCCATATTACAGGTGTGTATGAGGGCATGTGATGAGGGCACTGCTGGAGTGAGGGTTGAGTTGGACAGCACAGGTACCTGTTTCCTTGTATCTGCCAAGAAGTACTTATCATGGAATCACAGAATAGTTTGTGTTGGAAGGGACCTTCCATCTCATTCCAACTCCCTGTCATCGGCAGGGACATCTTCCACTAGACCAGGTTGCTTGGACTAGACCCCTGTCCAACCTGGCCTTAGACACTTTCAGAGATAGCGTATCCTCAGCTTCTTTAGGCAACCTGTGCCAGGGCCTCACTACCCTCACAGTAAAGACTTAATCTGGCCTCTCCAGCTCAGAGAAAAAGGAGTGAAAACACAGAGCAGAGAAAGTCAAAGAACTCCCTCATCAGGGTTTTGTCACTGAAAAAATGGACTTTTGTTATTTTTCTTTTAAAAACAGTCAGCAGCTGGATGATGCTAGCACTTCCCAGACAAAAAAAGATAATAATTTACCAGTGAGGAACACAGCAATGATTTTCTTGAAAGCACAGAAACATGCTGTGTGCTGCCTGTACTGCAACTCAGCCTGGTGCAGGGAGCCAGCCCAGCCTCACAAAACAGGAATTCTCGCTTAAACCTTCAAAACTCAATTTTTAAGGGGAGCACAGAGCTTGCACCAATCCCAGGCAAAAGAAATCTCAGCATGTCCTGGTGCAGGGCACAGACAAGGCTTCTCCTCACTGAGCATAACTGCATGTGTCCTGCACTTCCGTTGCTTACAGACGACATTATTTCGACTCTGCTTTCTGGATAATAGTTTAATTTTGTGGGCAATAAATCAAAGAACATGGAGAACGTACCTGTAAAAATTCTCTCATCGAACATCCTAGGAGGAAAGGAAAAAAAAGGATTAGAAATAGGTGCTTCTAATGACTGAATTGGAGGTTTTATTAATGAACAGCATTAAACCAAGTCAAAATAGTGGTTTTATTAATTCTCTAAAGAAAGAGAATGAATTTTTCAGTTTAAAAAAAAAAGCCTTCTAGCCTGTTGTGCAACCAATCAACCTTACAGCATATGTTTTTTACCTAAAGCACCTCTAAATCTACTTATAAATCATTCGCTTAATTTAATTAACTTATTAAATGAGGCTGCTATAGGTTGGCTTTACCAAGAGAGAGAGCAGGACCAAAGTAGCTGCTGGACCTTCACTTCCCAAGACAGAACATCTACCAGATGTCACCTGTCTCCTGAATATCATATTTTGGTGCTACCCACAACTTTGCTTATGGGAGCAAAGTGTATCCAGGGCCATATCCCAGGGCCTGATCCAGACTGGTGCAGCCTGAGCAGGGTGGGAGAAAGTAGCTCCTCTAGCAGCTGACATATGGAAAGCTAATTCCTCTTAGGATGCCTGAGTTCCGTGGATGTTGGTGATTTTAGCGCCCTTGGGAGACTTAGCTGGGATCTTTCAGTGCTATAGTTTCACACTTCTAGCAGGGAAACAATACAAGTGCTACACAGGCAGGGACTAAATAATTAAATATATTATAAAGCAGATTTTCCTGATAGAGAAGCAAAGAGGGATTGCATGCCACAGACATAACTGGGAATGCATCCACTCCTCCTACTCTAGTGCAAATGCAGACACCAAGACACAGTGCCCATCCTTGTCACCAGATATAGAGGACGTGCACAAGTGATCAACGAAAAACAAGGTGGAGGGAATCCCTGTGCAGCATAGATACAGATGTTCCTCCCCCCACCCAGGCACCACTTCCATCCACCAAATGCCATTGGAAAGGGTTGTGCTGTGATCAGAGGGTGCTGTAACAACCTGAAATGCTTGGGGTGGCATGAGCAATTTCTGGTGCCATCATCACTTAAAACAGTATGGCAGGGCTTGGGGGTGACCATGGTACAGCCAGACCTGTCTCATCCTTACAAAAAGAGAGATGAAAACCAGAGGTTTGTGGGGGAAAAAGAGCTTTCAGCTCTTTTCCATGAAAAAGGGTGAAATGACTTTTGGGTGTCAAAACAAACCCTGTGAGCAACGGAGGGAACACAGCTCAAGTCCCCAGTACCCTCAAGCCATGCACTCCCCCTTGCCTTCCTCACCACCCACCTTTTGATAACAAAATGGATATTGTGCCTCTCCTCCAATATCCGCTTGAGTTTGGGGACACCATAGGTGCAAGGTCTTTTGAAGGGTATTTTGTCCGGGATGCCAATGATCTCCACTGCCTCAGGGTCACAGGCAATCTTCCGGTATGGGACAGGGACCATGTGGTCTAACCCCAAGGCTTCAGCTGAAAGGTGAACACATGGTTTTTATTTACACAAGCACTTTTTCTTTTACAGATGCTAAAATGAAGGTGTAAAGGCTTGAACTCAGGCACAGCAAGTGTCTTCTGTCCTCTTCTTTGCTTGTCCCAGAAGGTGAGCCCCAGGAGCAGATCTCCCATGCCAAATGGAACAATAGGAGAGAAAGCAGCAGTAAACACAGCTAATTGCGTCCTCCAAAACTCCCAAACATGCCCAATGATGCTCAAACCAAGGGTGAGCCACATGCCATCCCCAAACTCCCTGTAACCCACCACAGCAGATTTGTGAGCTCTATGCCTCACAAGTTGCGTAGCACATGGAATCATATCGTTGTTAAGGCTGGAAGAACCCTCTAAGATCGATTCCAACTGTTAACCCAGCACTGCCCTGCTCACCACCAAACCATGTCCCCAAGTGCCACATCTACACATTTTTTGAACATTTCAAGGAATGATGACTCCACCACTGCCCTGGGCAGCCTCTTCCAGTGCCTGATGACCCTTTCAGGGGAGAAATTTTCCCCAATATCCAATCTAAACCTTCCCTGAAGCAACTTGAAGCCACTTTCTCTAATTCTGTCACTTTTTACCCAGGAGTAGAGGTCAATCCCCACCTGGCTACAACCTCCTTCAGGTAATTGTAGAGAGTGAGAAGATCTCCCTTGAGCCTCCTTTTCCCCAGGCTGAGCCCCCCCAGCTTCCTCAGCTGCTCCTCATCAGACTTGCGCTCCAGACCCTTCCCCAGCTCTGTTACTCTTTGTACACACTCGAGCACCACATATATTGATCATAAGTTAAGGGGCTCATCTCAAGCCCATATATAACTCACAGGTGACACATGAATTACATGAATTACACAGACTGATGGGGATGGCACAGGTGAAGAGCCAGCCCATCAACCCATTCCCAAGCTATTTCCCAAGCTTCCAGCTGCTCAAATGCCCAGTAGCTACCCTTGAAGCACTGCCCATTGCAAAGGGAGCACCAATGACATCTGTAAGCCATGCAGATGGAAAAAAAAGCAGCTGCAATAACAACCACCTTCTTTTTACCTGCCATGTTAATGTGAAAGGGCTACATGTCACCGCTTCCGGTGCCCCGGGTACTCTGATCTGGCATGCCACACTCCCAGCCGGAGATGCTTTACAGCCCAGTGATAAATTCCTTGACGGCAGAGGGGGTGTTTCCAAATGGAAATATTGACATAACCTTCAGCAGACACCCAAAGACTGGAAGCTGCTGAGCTAAATGTGTTAGGAAGAGCAGGGAGCTCTAGCATATGGCTTCTGCTGCTGTGTTAGGGAACAAAAATGATTGCTATATAATGATATGCAATACACAAGCGCTGCAGATGCATAATGGGATATTAACTCCTACTCACCATATCTGCTGTTAAACAGAATTTGCACGCACTCCCTAAGGGTGTTGATATCTTCAGTTTCTTTTATAAAACTGTCCCACTTATCTATCAAAACAAAATACAAGAAATAAGAAACTTCCATATGGTTCGTACACAGCAGATGCACTTTTCTCCCACAAAGTGCTGGGAAGCACGAACAAGACTTTGCTGCTTTAAAACTTATTTCCCTCTTCCTGAGCAGATTTTGCCAGGTTGGGCTTTCTCAGCCCCAAGCACCCTCCAGAGCATGTGCAAAAAGCAAATTACTAAGAAATGACCCCACAAAATTTCTAAACCCTGCAGTGAAAGACCCTCTGGGACAGAGCCAACTCCACCTGGAATGAACCTTTGAAAGGAACAGCCATTTCACACTGGAGCTTTTCAATCTCCTCCTCTTTCCCAGCTTTCCCACCCATGTTTTTTTCTCCTCTTTAAAGCAGGCAGGTGAGGGTTTTGATGGAAACACGTCAGCATTTTTAGGCTGCATTTTCCTTGGGTGGAGTGGAGGTGGGGAAATGGCAGTCTCCTCCCCACTGCTGATCCCTGCAGGCACCGCTGCAGAATAACACTGGGATTAGTGGGTTTTAGTTATTTTGAAATAACGCCAAGTTCTCAGCAGGTATGTGCTGTTTGCAGCTGGGGCAAACAGCCTCTCCCAAAGCCATGCCTTCCTGTGCAGGAAGCAGAGATGGGAATTCCCACCCAGCCAGCAGTGCTCAACAACCACTGGCAGCATCTTGGAGACAGCAAGGATGGACCTGAGCAGAGATGAAGGTTGGGCTGCAACATGAGATGTTGCATCAAGGAAAGGGAAAAAAATCCCCTCCTGCATCATCTCCAGCATTGCCAAGTCCTTGCAGAGCATGCAGTCCCTGCAGGGTTGCGAGACTGCTGGGGAGAGATGAGAGGAAACCTTTCCCTAAGAGACGGCTGCCGACTGCCTCCAACGCTAGAGCACAACACAGACCTGTCTTGTCGTGTACGATGGAGAAGAGGATGCGCTTGGATGAGTGCACATTCTGGATGAGGGGACCTCCGGAGACCGATGATTTCTGTCCTGGACAAGAGGGGAGACAAGGAGAAAGGGCTGATGAGAGCCTGACCAATGTTCCAGGCATCCCAACAAGACTCCAGGTGCTGACCCCCGCCAGTGACACTGACCTGACTCTTCTCTCTCTCCTCCATGCACCCTGGCCTGTGACTCCCGGTGTGATGCTGACCAGACCGACCCTTCCCATCCCCATTCCAGCTGTCCTTCTACCTGGTAGTGCAGCACCCAGCATTTTGGAGCAAAAATAGAGGTGTGCCCCGTTGGCACTTTGCAGCCACCCAGGGAAGGGCTGGGGCAGTGCAGCGTGGCAGGGGCTCCACTCATCTTCATTCGGGCCAAACTCATCTGAGGACCACCAAAACACCCGGCCTGTCCCCTGCCAGTGCCCGGGATGGGCTGCGCACAGGGCCCTCATCTTAGAGCAAACTCTAGGCTATTACCACAGCAGTCGCTGTACTCCTGTGAGGAAGGCACCTTCAGCTCTCCTGCCGGCCGGGCCAGCAGAGCCTCGCCCACCGCGGTCGGCCCAGGCAGCCCCGAGGACACCTCCTGCTTGAGGTCAACGGCGACAGGAGTGGGCAGCGAGACGCTGTATAGGAAGTTGGTGACAGCAATGGCGGAGGGGGTGTCCTGAGTGGCAGGCTTGGCCATGGGGCCGTTGGCACCGGAGTCTCGGCTGCCCTTGGAGGCGAGGGAGGAACAAGTTAACTCAACGCTGGGGTTGGGCTCTCGGCTGGGCTCATCTGCTGGCCTGAGGGGAAGGAAGGGAGAAGAGGAGGGAAAACAGGTTCCTTTGGGCCCAAGGCATTGCTAAGCCTCAACAAGCAAGGATGTGGAGGGGGAAGGAGAGCCATGCCCAGGAGGGTGAAACATGCTGCATCACTGGCTGCCAGGCTCCTTGTTGAGGAGGGCCATGAAGACAATTAGAGGGCTGGAGCACCTCTCCTATTTAGAAAGGCTGAGAGAGTTGAGATTGTTCAGCTTGGACAAGAGAAGGCTCTGGGGAGAACTTACTGCAGCCTTCCACTACTTAAAGGTACTGGAGAGCTGGAGAGGGACTTTTGACAAAAGCAGGGAGTGACAGGACAACAAGGAATGGCTTCAAACTGAAAAGGGTAGGTTTAGATTAGATAGTAGGAAGAAAATCTTCCTTGCGAGGGTGGTGAAGTACTGGTACAGGTTGCCCAGAGAAGCTGTGGCTGCCCCATCCTTGGAAGTGTTCAATGTCAGGTTGGACAGGGCTTGGAGCAACCTGGTCTAGTGCAAGGTGTCCTTGAGGGGGTCGGAACAAGATGGTCTTTAAGATCCCTTCCAACCCAAGCCATTCTATGGATCTATTCTAGTTCTATTCTATGATTTAGAAGTTACATCCATCACCCAAGCTCCAGAGCATCTTCAGGCACCTGGACCGTTCTTGTCTTCTTTCAGTGGATCTGGTTGGTCTTATGGTGGTTCAAAGTGTTTGTATTAGCTAAGGCAAAGCTGTTCAGCTCCATGCCTGATGCATTTGAGAGGTAAAACCTTGTGTGACCACAACCACTTGGCTATATTGCCTGTGCCAGCCCCCAGCACCCATGGCATGTTCAAAGGGGACCTCAGTCAGCCCAGGGATGAGCTACAGACCAAGGAAATACAAGCGCTCCACATGAGACAGGCGGCCACGAGCTCGCAGACACCTCAAATTCTGTGTGTCCTACTTTTAGCTGTCTCAGCCTGATTTTCCAGAAGTACCAAGCCTTCAGATGAGGTATTTGGGAGTGCTCAGCATTTCTCTGAATGGATCTGAGGTGCTGCCAGCCAGGCAAACACAAGGGAAACGCACCCAAAACGACCAAACCCCTTGTGTAAATGTGGCCAAAAGGGGGAGTTTGTCCTGTCGCAGTCTCCCACTTCCCTCTTCATCTGGCATTAAAAAACCTATTTCAGTCTGGGAAGACACTTGCAGCACTTACCCCAGAAACTCCTCTGGAAACAAGAAAAGCACTTAGCTTACTGCAGTGGAAATTTTGGCAGAGACATGTAAAACGATGCAGTTAATCTGCATGTTTGCATACACTTAAAAGAAACAAGCCTGAAATGGTCTCAAGCCCCACGACATGAAAAAATCTCTGTGCAAGGCTGGGTTTGGCATGGCTGGACCCAGGTTTGTGGGTCTGGGAGAGAAGCTGGGACATAGGAGAGACTCTCTTGCTTGTGCCACACGAAATCTTCACCATCTGCCAGCATTGTAAGAGCCACTACCCCAAGGGCTTGCTGCTCTCTCACCCCTTGGGGATCTCCAAAATTACCTTTTAAGCCTGAAGCGGATGCTGTGGCTGTGTTCTAGGATGGCCATCAGGGATTTCACATCGTACTCCATGGGTTTCTTAAAGCTGATCCCTTCAGGCAAGCCAGCGACTGCAAGTGAGCCCGGCTCTTTCAGGAACCTCTCGTACGGCAAAGGGACCACACTGCTCTTCCCCATGGCTTCACCTGGCGAGGGGGCAGAGTTACACACTGACAAACACCCCGCGCCCCCGACCACAGCTGAGCCAGGCTGGAGCAGTAAATGCAAGAGCAAGAAATAACAACAAAACCATTAGGAGAAGAAGACCCATTCTTACCTCTGCACTTAGCATGCAAGGCACTCCAAGCTCTTTCTAAAAGCACTAATTAATAAAAAGCTCATAAAAGCCAAAAAGTTGATGTCTCATCATTCAGGTTGCACAGTAAAATCCTCAGCTGGGGTCATTTGGCACAAGCTGACTCCTGGGAGTTCCCAGCAATGTGCCAGTGAGGTACATGGCCACCAGCAAGCTGGGAGGGAGCTGAAAGCTGACAAAGAAGGTTGAAGGCCTCATGATGATTTTTATCTCATGTTTACTGAGAGATTCTGGGAACCTTATTTTCAGTCAGTTTTCTTATTTTACCTCCCGTAGTTTGATTGCTGTTGTTATCAAGCAGCTTTGATGCACTTTAACGGACAAGAAAAAAACCCCCAATAATCTCCCTCCATCCCACCATTCAGACAGCTTGGATATTGATCCATTTGACCACACAATCACCTCCAGCAGCCCAGAACTGTCACCCGCTCCCCTCGACAATGGCCACAGAGTCCCCCCATGTCCCCATCACATGAGCCTGGCTCCATTTTACCTCTGACACCAAAATCTTCTCAAGGAGTTGGGTGCACAGTGCTTTCCCTTCCCTGGCAGCAAGAGATGACCAGCAAGCCTTGCCATTATAGAGGAATTTTCTAAATGAGGTAAAGAGCCCACGTACCCAAACCACGGCTGTTTATGGTGCTCTCCAGGCAGGACACTGTCAGAAAAACAGTCCCCTCTGAAGGGTTCCATGAAATGGCCAAAACCCTCAAGCTGCTCTCTGTGGAAGAATTATTTTGGAAATCAACCCAAGCCACTGGAAGCAACAAACTTGGTGCTGAAAGCATGAAGCAGAAGAAACAGCCATGAAGGAATGAGACTGGTCTGGCAACACAGTATCCAGACGCAGAACATCTGGCAGCATGGCACGGTGTCTGCACCTTTGTCTCCAGGCTGAGGGACAGGCAGAGAAGAGTACTGGACATTTAAGTTACTGTGGGATTTTATATTGTGGATTTTCTTTTAAATATTTTCATTTTTCTCTCCTCTTAAAAAAACCCCCAAACCCCACACTTAAATATCTTACAGAAACCCTGTAAATCTTGTGACACTGTCAGCAAGTCCTTATTAAAAGTGGCTTCTTCAACATGTTCTTTGAAGGAACACATGATAACTAACAATGTGCAACTTGCACGAGCCATCAAGGTTCCTTATACATGGGATGGATAATATTTTAATTAAGCCAATAACTGAAGTTTCAAAATGAGCCTTTGAACAAACACTGCGAGTTCACTTTCTGCAAGCTGACAGTTTCTCTGTCCCAAACTGCTGGCTCTAGCAGTTCTCCACCTCCCTCCATCACCTCTCTTTGTGATGAGGAAAAGCTCCTGATGCCTACAGCGTCTCCTTATCAACCCAATGCCCAAGAACTCCCCAAACATATTTTAATGGGGAACATGTTACTGTCAAAGTGACCTTCACAAGCCTAGCACTGCCACACAGAGGCTTATAGTTTAGCTAAAGAGAGGCAATAATCATCATTAATGTCTGTTTAATAGAAGCCAATAATCATTCATCCTGTTGGTTCAGAGATTACCTGGCTCTGGAGGGAACCTTTTTGACGGAGAATTTTCTAAGACTTTTTTGTTTCCAATCCCTGTTGATGGGAGGTGACTAAAAGGATAAAAAGCCCCCCATAAGAACAGTAACAATTTCTCACAGTCCTCTCACTGTTGGAAACAGAATCAGCCTTGGACATGTATTATTTCTCCACTCAATCAAGAGAGGCTCTTTCCAGTGGGAATGCTGGGAGTGCTAGGCAGGTTTCGCCACAGAGCAGCTCAAGGATGGAAACAGCTGATCCTACTGAAGCAGCAGCAAAGGCAGAATTACACCCAGCGCCAGAGCCAAAACCACTGGCTCAGGGATGCCTGACCTCCTCCTGCTATAGCAGTGCTGGCCAACTTGGACTGGGGACCAGCTTGTCCCCATGCCCCTCCACAGACCTCAACAAGGTAAAGAGCATTGCTAATCATCCTGATGGATGGGCTACCTGCCTGGTTTGTACACCCCACACAAATGCATCCTGATCAAGCTTTTTTAATGCAATTATACATTTATGGTATGTCAGATTTTAGTAATTCTCATATTCCCAAGAGGACAGCAAATTTTGGCACTCTCTCAGCGGCAGACCTACAGCTTAGAGAGGGGATCCACCAGCACAAAAATGTCCTCTGCATCCTATTCCCTTGTCTCTTCTGCATCATCCCTTTCCTCACACTTGGGCCCAGCCTTTGAAAGGCAGCAAGGGGATCTGATTGCCCCCTTAATGGGAATATTGCCTCCACATCCTTTGAATGGTTTCAGAAAACTTTAGTGACTGTCTCTCCTGGGGGGGAGGAAGGGATACCATCTCCCTTTTCTGTCTGTGAAGCCTGTGGCAGGTGTGACAGCCAGCAACAGCAACTCCTGCATGTGAGCCCAAGGTGGTTGGTGGTAGTTCCTATTATCCCCCCTCTGTCAAGCGGAAATGCCCAAACCCCACACACAGACCTAGGCAAGCCCCGCACCTTGGGTTCAGGGAGACCTGTGCAGCCCTGGTAAGGCTCTACCAGGCTTTGAATCGCAGAGGGTGATGGGGAGCTGCACCCAGGAAAGCCAAACACCCAGTTCTGCAGCTGATCCAGCCACATGGCCTGAACTCCCCCAAAAGATCACAGTAGGCTAAAGCACACTGCTGAGCACCACGTGAAAATACCGACGCTTGTCGCCCTGTTTTCCCAACCCAACCTTGCTTTTCCTTTCCCAAGCAGCACAGCCCTAGAGATGCTGTCAGAGGATGAGCCGGTAGCATGGTTGCTGCCTCCAGCCACTCCGTGGGGGCTCCAGTGGATCCTCCTGAGTGAGAAGAAGGCACTGCTGCTACTCAAGCCACCACAGATTGGGCCTGGAGGGAGCTCTGCAACCCACTGGGTTCCATATCAACAGCCATATGGTCATCTACATTTTAATTGCAGAAGGTTTATTGCCGGGGATGGAAGAGCACCAGCTTGTCTCTTGAAGCTGGGGCTGCAGGGCTGCTTGCTAGAAAATCATCTTTTTTTCCTTCTAAACAGATTTGCCAGGGAAAGGGGGGAAGTGAGTCTGTAGAGTCCCAACACAGCGCTATGAAAAAGGTAAAATGGATGAGGTGTGAGGGATAAAGGTGTGCTTGGAAATCCCATCCCAGGCATAGCAGAGGCTTCCCCTGGTCAAGGGCGACAAAGGATGTTTCCCCCAGCATGGGGATTTTTTGGCCCAGTTTGGGGCACTGGAAAGTGAAGCAGTGGCCAAATCCCATCTCAGTGCGATGCTAACACTATGCAGGAGCACATCCCACCACACCACCCGTGCCAGGCACCTGCAGGCACTTCCTCTTGCTGGGGAGCCGGGCTGGCCATCTGGTGGTGGCACTGGGCAGCTCAGAGAGCCCTGGGGGCAATCCATATCCCCAAAGGGAAGCATGAAGATTCTTACTATAAAGCACATCAAACACTTCCTCTACCATCTTCCTGAGGAGGTACACGTCTGATCCCTGGTCCGGGGAGATCCTGAGCACCCTTCGCCCACACTCCTTTGCCTTCTTCTGTGCCTCTGCGTCCTGCTCCTTCCTTTGCTGGATTCCTGCAGGGGGAGAGGAAAAAATGGGAGTCGCTGTAGTGAGAAAGGGTTCATGGGTGATGACTCTGGCTAGGGAGGTGGGTCCCCCGGGTCTCCCACCCAACCCAGACCCTCAACATGTCCCTCCCAGCAACCCCCGATGTGCAGGAGAAAGTGCTGGCATGGGCAGTGGTGCCAGCAGTGGGGTCCATCATCCTGTGCCTGCCCCCCTGCTTTCCCTGGCTTTTCCCTTCAGTTGCACTGAAATTGTTGAGATTAATTAGGCAGCACACTTCTTTTCTCTGGTTTCAATCTGCTTAGCCTTCAATCTCGCAGGAAAAGAAAATCTGCCTTTCTTGGAGGCTTTTTTACCCTTCAGCATCATGTAGCTCAGTAATACCAGCTATTTCCTGCTAATTTCCCCCATTAAACCTCAAATAAAGCATATCTTTGGCAGTGACTTCCTTGCATCTCTAAATGCACAGAAAATTAAACACTATATAAGTGCATTATTGCTGTTCTATCCACAGTAATTCACAAGGGATTTTTGTTGGTGAAGGACTAATTCCTTCATCATCCTCGAAAGCCTCCTGCATGCCACCTGGGTGCTCGAGAAGGAGCTCATGAATCCTTCCTGTGGAAAAGGCCTGTGGCTACAATAGCACTGAAAAGGGACGGGTCAAGAGCCACGTGGGATACCCATAGAACTAGACATAAGAAAGTAGACAGCCACTATGCCACCCCTGGCAAGTTCCACATGCCTCCCATGAAACAGCAAAACAGGCCCTGGAAAACTTTTTTGGGGTGTTTTACCACTTTTTTGGGGTGTTATACCATATATATATACCATATATATATGAAATGCATATATATCTGCACCCTTCAACTACTGCTTCTCCCATCAGCTGGGCATTAATACTATTCTGCTGACATTAATCCGGATCACTGTCAGGTCCCCCCTGTGCACAAGGAAAGGCTGAGCCAGAGATTCAGATGAAGGAGGGTGTTCAAGTGAGGTCTGTGCACCCAAGAGAGATAAGAGGCTTCTTACCTCTCCCAGCGATATCTCCTTTAGATTAATTCAGATCTTTCTAAGAGGGCAGCAAGACCATAAATCAGAGGCACTTACAGGGATGCTTTCCACTGCGCGCCAGTTGTAAGAGCTTTATGGAGTTGAGTTGAGCCTGGACCATTTATAATTCAAGACGGAGTTATCACATTTCACCCTGTCTCCAGCATCAGCTGCTTCACCCAAACACCATCATCAAGATTTTGTGCTTTCAACCAGACATAGCTATTTCTTTTTGACAAAGGTATAAATGAAACCAAAGAGATGGGAATCAGGATCTAGTGCCAGGTGCCTTGTCCCAGCACAGCAATAAGTCACTGACCAGAATATATCACAGAATCAGAAAACAGTTTGGGTTGGAAGGGACCTTAAGGACCATTTTGTTCCAACCCCTTGCCATGGACAGGGACACCTTCCACTAGATCAAGCCCCATCCAACCTGGCCTTGAACACTTCCAGGGATGGGGCAGCCACAGCTTCTCTGAGAAACCTGTGCCAGTGTCACACAACCCTCATAGGAAAGAATTTCTTCCTAACATCTAATCCAAATTTCTCCTCTTTTACTTTAAAACCATTTTCTCTTGTTCTATCACTATCTGCCTATGAAAAAAGTCACTCTCCCTCTTTTTCGTAAGTCCCTTTTAGGTACTGGAAGGGGTTCTAAGGGCTCCCCAGACCCTTCTCTTCTCCATGTTGAACAACCCCAGTCCTTTCAGCCTGAGGGAACTCCTTCCCATTGGCCACCCCACTGCCATTCACATCTTGTAGGTGGTGGGAAGGGGAGGCAGAGTTGCCCATGAATGTGGAAAACATCCCGCAAATGCCTCCTGCAGAATGCAATGGAGGATAACTAATGGCATCTCTCCTGGGTGCAAGTGGGATGCCCAGGGCAGCAGGACGAGGGGCAGAGCAGAACCATGGCAGGGAGCTGCTCCTGTAGAGCTGTGCCGAGAACAAGCTGAGCACTGACCCGGACAGCTTCACAGCACTGGTGTTGTCACCAGAGCAAACCCTTCCTGCACAATCTCTCCAATGGATTAAGCACCTACATGGTTTCTGTCAATACCATGTGTGTGCGCACACAGCCGGGTCATTTCTCTCCAGTGACATCTCACCATGGGCAGCGTATAGGAACAGATCTGAGTTTGGGGTCCCCAGCATCATCAAAACCAGATTCTTTCCCAGTTCCTGTATGGAGTAGGCAAAGCAGCAGCTGGAATGCCGGGGATGATGCTGACCAAGAAATGCAGGTCCCTGTTCACAGCACGGCTCCCACTTTCCCCTCATCTCCCAGGCTGTTTTTGGGGAGCTGGCAGAGGCACAGAGCTGGGGCCTGCAAGACACAGGTATCCCTCAGATACTCGGTGAACCTGATCTAAGACTGGGGGGACACTGCACCTGCTCAAGGCATCCTGTCACCCCTGTTCATCCCTCAAAAATATAAGCAATTCCACAACCGGCACCTTCATCTACCAAATCCATCCCTGTTTTTCCAAAACCAGGAAAAAAGCCCAGGACCAAGAAAGCCTCTTGGTTCCTGGGGGATCACTTGGACAAACTATTTCTGCAAAGCCCTCCAAAAACACTCCAGCACTCCTGCAGCATTGCTGAAGGCTAACAGAGCCAGAGGAACAGAGCAACCATCCAGCCCTGTGCCACTTCAGGGATGCTTTTGGAGAGAAGAGCCAGGGCATACAGTGCCCTCCCTGGGAGGGAGAGGCTCTGACCACAATTCCCATCTGCCATCACTTCAACCACCACTCAGCCCCGTGGACAGACAGACAACACTGTGGTGCCCCCCAAACCACAATCACTTTGTGCATGGTGGGAGTCCCAGCTTGCAGAACTGAAGCACCCACCTTGGCATGGGAGAAGATCTCTGGTGGGGGATACTCACTGCAAAACTTCTGGAAGTCAGCCTGCAGCTCCTTGCGGGTGCTGAGGAAGACCCGTCCCTTTTCAGTGCCCACCACGAAGGCACTCTCCTCATGGACAGCGATGCAGGCCACCTCTGCGTTTAGCTTGGAGAGCGCTGAGCACTGCGGGAGGCACCAGGTTAGTGCAGCACGGGACAGGATAGCATCCCTGCTTCCCAATCCTTGCCATTTCCCAGTGGGATTTTTTAGTTCCCATCAAAAGATTCCCCTATCAAAAGCAATGTTCTGATTTGGGTCAGAATTTCATGGGTTTATGACATGCCCTAAATATTTTGGTGACTTTACTGCTCCCAAAGATATCCGGCCGAGCTAGGCTTTGCTGGAAAAAAAGAACTATATTCCCAACATTTTACTTCATTTTTTCCTATCCTAAAAGTAAACATTTTATAGCATTTCTTTAAAAGAAAACATTTCTGTAAAAAGAAAGAAACAAAAAACCCACACCACAACCAACAACAACAACTTTCCCCCAGCTCTAATGGAATAAGGAATATGAGAATCTTATTTCAGCTGCAGAACACTTATATGGTCAAAGTCTGGAGTAGTTGAACGATTCTTCTTGTACAGTTATGCAAAACAACAAAGAGATGGAAAAGACTTCCTCTATTAATCTGTTGTATGTAATGTGCGCTTCCAGCTCTACATAATACACATGTATATGTCTTTTATTAGTATTTTTTATATTATAATAGTTACTCAGTGCCGGCAGCCTGAGCCATATTCCCATAGCTACAGCATGGTGCTATTCCCAGGTCATGTTTTAAAAGGGTAAAAAAAGGGGGGGATTTTTCCAGCAGCAGCCACGGTTAGACACATCAACAATGCCATGGAGGGGTTGGGAGCAGGAAAGCATGGACTAAACCCCCTTCAGCTACCTTCAGCTCACTGAATGCATCTACAGTGAGCTTCACTTGTGTGGGCCTAAACCAGCCTTTATACCAGGTCATTTTACCTCCTGATCACCTTCTTCAAGGATGCACCAAATCAAATCCCCCAAAATAGATATTTTTAGGAAACATCCCTTCAAAACCCAGTAGCAAACACAAGTATTTTGCTCAAAAAGCCCAACACTCAAAAGATAAACACAACAACTAAGGTATGTGAAATTTGGAGGCAGACCAAATCCAAACCCCAAGCCCACCTGGTGACGTGCACGTGGCCTTGCAGTTTATTTACCAGGCATGCAGGCAGCTAGGCTTCAGTGGGCACAGAGCCTAGCACTGGTGAAGCACTGGGATAAAGGCTGAATTTCAGGAGTAGCCTGGCTCCCTAGCCCTGGTGTAAGTACCTAATGAAGACTGCGGAATAATGTATATTCTTTAAGAAGTCAAACTACAATAACACAGTATGTTGTTTGGGATGGCATGTATATAAATCATCAAAGCTGCTTGGGGTGTGTCAGCTCCAGGGAACCTGCTCCTTACTGGGGCAGTGATGTCAAAGAGAAGGAAATTGGTATTAATGAAAAAACCTCTACCTGCAGAGAGAAGAAAACACATTCTAGACAAATGTATTACATATGACTTGACTTTAAAAGAGGAGCGCTATTTAGCATATCTCATTGCATTACACATTTGTTACTACACATCTGCTTTCCCTTCTTGATCATATTCACAGCTAAAAATAAGATTAGCTCTGGTCCATGAGACTTAATGCAGACAGTTATCTTGTTTATGTAAGCACAGCTGACTTAGGCAAGGTTTCCACAGGGAATTCTACGTCAAAAGATATGAAAGTTATTTTCTTTGTTCTTGAAGATAAAAAGCCATTGTTCTGATGTTGTGTAAAAGCTCATGGTAACATTGGTAAAACGGCAAGAAAAAAAAAAGACAACCACCCTACATTCAGTTGATACCAACATAAATATTAATGGAAAAACAATACACATCTGAGATTAACTTGGGCTGACTTTATGATCTTACGGCTGTCAAGGTGGGAGAGGGATTTTATTTCCCAGCTCCAGCAGCTCCCTGGGCTTTCCAGTAGCAGAGGGGAGCAGGATGAGCTCACCAGCTCTCCTGTGCCAGCCCTGCGCCCAGCCAGCCCTGCTAAACGGAGGCCAACAGAGGGAGGGGAACATTGACAGGGATACCACTGGCCTCTTACCATGGAGTCTAAGGCAGACACTAAGCTGGTGATGATTTCGTCTTTCTGGGGAAAAACCATATTCCATTGGTCAGCTCTGGAGGTGGTGAGAGTCGCGTCTAAAGGCTTCCCTGCCAGGGCCATATTCACCTGAAAACAGAAAAAACAAGAGCTATGCACGACTGTCACTAATGGAGAGCTGGCGCTGAGCACCACCCATTACCATAGTGTGCCATGGGAGCAATGCTGGCACGGATACACAGGGGAAACTGAGGCATGGACAGGGGCCAGGGCAGCCTGAACCCCATAATCCCCTTGTGTCCTCTGCTAAGTCAGATAATTGAGGATGCTGTTGAGCTGTAAACAAACTCTGGAGCGAATGCTGTGTGTTCCAGCAGCGGCCAGGTCATCTCCACCCTTGGGGCTCACCCTCAGGGAGATGCCACCACTGCACAGGGCGCGCTGGATCAGCTGCATGGTGGCACACCCCGGATGTGCAGACTGAGGCTGTGCAAGCCAGAGGACACAGTGCTGAAGCAGACGTGGAGCACTCCTGTGTCCAAGCTCTTACAGCAGCTGTGAGCTAGGGGTGATGGCTGTGTCCCCATGAGGACACTGCCAGCCATCCTTGTGCCTCCCTCCCTACACCCTGGGCAAGAGGAGAACCTAGCATTCAAAAGTGTTCCTGAAACAGGCCAAAACCACAGGGTCCTCTGCTTTCACCCCAGGGGAGAAATGCAGCTCATGGCAAGGAGTTCCCACATCAAATCATCCCACCCTGCAATTCCGGGTGTCAGTGGCAACAAGACCAAGTGATGCACAGGGACTGCACATCTGAGAAGAGGCTCAGCCCCAGAAGCTCTATCGCTCATGGAAAAATGGGGAAAAAAGGGGATAAATGCTGGGACCCAGTTACACATGCAGCAACAGCACCAGGTTTCTGTGCCCAGGTGCACACTGCATCGGGCCTCACTGCGACCCACAGCAATGCCGGTGCTGCAGGGGAAACTGAGGCAAGGTCTCGCCTTGCATAAATCACCCCATTCCAGTGCTGGGACACCCACACCCGAGACAGCATCACGCCCAGCAACCAAAACATCCCTCTCAGCTATTGCCTCTCCATCCAGAGGGCAGTATTGCACTGTCCAGCTTTAATCCTGCGAATAAAGGATGACAAATTAGCTCAGAAGCCACTCAAACCAAATCGTAAATCATGTGCTCGCAAGTGGATAAAAGAGGCCAGAGAACCCCTAACAAGGCTGGATGGGCAGGAGCCAGGGAATATGAATGAAGTTGCCCATGCATAACTCAATTTGCCACTCAGTCAATAATCACACTGCCTGGCCCTGCTGGAAACAGGGGTTAAAGGCAACAGAAATACCCCCAGTTCACCTTCCTGCCCCAGTTTGCACCTATGTCCAAGCAGAAGGAATCTGAACACAAAGTAGGGTCTGTGCAACTGGGGAAATGCTGGATTTTGGCCCAAAATAACAAGTCCCTCGTGCTGGCATCTCCATAGGTGTCTGAGCATGCACATCTTATCACAGAATGTTTTAGGTTGGAAGGGACTTAAAGATCCTCTTGTTCCAACCGCTTGCTATAGGCAGGAACACCTTCCACTATCTCAGGTTGCTCCAAGCCCTGTCCAACCTGGCCTTGAGCACTTCCAGGGATGGGGTAGCCACAGTTTCTCTGCGCAAACTCTTATGAGGGTCTCCAATAAGCTAATGAGAGGGCAGACAAATGACTAAATTTCAGGAATTGCTCTGAATAAGCCCTCCAGGTTGTTACCCCACATTGCTGGTCAGTGAAAGCAGCCAAGCAGCGCTGGGGCACCACTTGCACCTGTGAATGGTAGAGCCAAAGCGGCATCCAGGCTGACAGCCACACAGGAAAATCCTCTTCCATCCATGTGACACTTCCTAACAAAGTTTACAGACAACTCTTCTTCCACAGAATGATCCTGGGGGAAAAAAATCTGTCCTAACTAGGTACCAGCTTGGAAAATAAAGCAGGAAACCGAACACATGGTCCTGCAGCTGGGCACAGACCACAGGCGTCCACATGCTGGTGACAGGGCTCTGCCAGGCACCTCCAACTTAACCATCATGAGAGCCCGCAGCAACACCAGGCACTCCTCCTTGCTCCAGCCCTGCAGTCTGTGCATGGACAGACAGATAGACAAGGAACCATTTCACCTGCAAGCTCCTAAGCAGCTTCCCGAGCACTTCCCTGAAGGAGCAGGGAACTTGACATTCTGTGGATATTGTGTTAAGAGGTGCCTTGTTGCAATTGGCAGGAAACAGTGAGGTGTTGGTGGTGCCGATGCCCGGTTCCAGGTTGAGCTGGGGGACCAGCCATCGCTTGGTCCAGGGAGCATTACTCCCTTCTTAAACCCCCCAAGCACTCGTTTGGAAAACAGCCTTAACTTTGATGCCCATACATGTTTCTGAGGGCACTAATTGTTATTAAATATGACTGCTATGACATGGATGTTCTGTTGCCTTCTGGCAATCTGGAGAGACAATCCCTGCCCCGGTGGGGCTGGTCGTGGCCCCTTGGAGAGCTCCAGCTGCACCAACCTGCTCAGCCACAGCCTCCCACGGGAAGCAGCACTTCCAGGGAAGAGATGCTCCTCCCTCCGCTGCAAAAACCAAAGTCACAAGATCGATCTGGCTCCAGAGGGAGAACCGATGGGAAAGACAGGGATAACATCAACGGGAAGTGGGGCAGGGTACCTGCATCCCCTCCCTCTCCTGCAGAAGACCAGGACAAAAATAATACCTTTCACCTGATTGATTGTTTAATAAGGAGAAGGGAGAATTATTCTACAAGGAAAAAACCAAGCATAATAAAAATATGACCCAAGTAACACAGCAGAACTTTAATGGATGGGGGGAGACGACAATATTCCTGTAAAGCTTTTAATCATTTGTGATCACAAAGAGCAGGGACAGTGGATTTAGAAAAGGGGAGAATAAAAGGGAGGGAAAAAAACTTCACAGCAAGTGCTAGGCTTATTTAAATCAAATTAAGGGCTTGATGTTGTTTGCCTAATCAAAGGGAAAGTAATCTTTAGGAAAACTAGGGTAAACCATTCTTACAGCAGTTCAGGCTGGCGACATGGAGAAAGGTGGGTAGGATGGGTGCAGAGCATCCTGCCCTGCTTCCCAAGGATCCACACATCTGTCCTACTGAAATCCCTCCCTGGGACATCACTGATGTTCCCCTCTGCGAGGGACTCTGTTCTGGCCCCAGCCCAATCCCACCTCTGCACACCGAGTCCCATCCCCAGGGGCATGGGGACCATCACACCATAGTCACAAGGCCAAAGCAAACATTTGCAGATTGTTTTTACATTTTTCAGGGGTTTTTTTAAATGTTATTAAATTTTATTAATTATTTCTCCTCCCCAAAGGAATCTTGGGGGGACAGGGTGCTATGCAACAGCTGGTACAGAATGTCAGCTCCTGCTTGGCTCTTATGACACCTCCCTTGATAATCCTGGGAAAGATTTGAAATTTGGCCTCGAGGGAGTTTCACTCATGAATCACCTGAGCTGCAGCAAAGGAAAAAACAGGCACGTGGGGAGGCTTAAGAACCCCTATGGAAAGGGCTAGGGCCTCCCCCAACCCTGCATTCACAGCAGGCATGTCCCCTCACCAGTCCCCCAACTGCTGCCACAGGGCAGCATCTCCCCAAAATAAACATCCTCCAGCCTTCCGCCCCACATCACCATTTCCAAACACTACAGAGCAAACAAAACAGTAAAAAAAACCCTATTAGTGAGCCAATGACAACCTTGCCAAGGAAATTTCCAGGCAGAAAACTGTTATTATACCCCTCAAATTATAAATAGGTCCCATTAGGAGAAACAGAAGGGGTTTATGCGATCCAGCAACTTGCACACTACGCCCGGGCCCTTGCAAAGACTGAACTTACAGAGTGCTCCTGCTGTTGACTTCAATATGAGAGAGTTTTCATCCTTCTTCTTCCTCCTCATCTTTTCAAGTCTTACAGTGATTTCCAGCCCCATGCCACAACCAGAAGCAACAGCATCTTATTTAACCCAAGCTGGTGTTTCCACACTGCAATGGTCCTTGAAGCAGAACCTCCACTGCCATCCTCCCCATGGCCTTCACCTTGGGGTGAGTAAAAACCTTATTTAGTGTAAACCTCCAAAATCTCATTCCTCAAAGGAAACTGGGTGCTTGTCCAGGACTCGCAAAACTGGGCTGAAAGGCTCTCCTCAAGCCTTTCACTCCTCTGGGCCACATTTGCCAGCAAGAAAAAGGTAAAGGAATGACCCCTTTTTTGGGTATTACCCAGGACCAAACTCAGTGCAGAGTGGGAGATGGGAATAGCCAAATGCCCAGGAGGGACTGAGGACATCCCACATCTGCTTCTTGTTCCACTGACTTCTACAAATACTGGGGTTTTTTACCATCAATACTAAATCAAAGACCCATGGAATGGTTTGGTTTGGAAGGGACCTTAAAGCCCATCTCACTCCAAACTCCTGCCATGGGCAGAGATACCTTCTGATAGACCAGGTTGTCCAGCCTTGCCTAGAACACTTCCAGGGATGATGCGTATTGTGTTTAAATTAATTGATTTGTTTTTTCCTACAGGCCTACTGTATCTTAAAAATATAACTCTGTCCATTCCCACCATGTGAAGCATCTCCTGTACTAAAGACCTGGAAAGGACACCAGACCTTAAAACCATCAGAACAAAGCATCCTCAGGCTGGTGCCCCAACCCAGTTGGTGGCTGCCACAGCTGCGTCTTCCATCTCAGCCCTTAAACTACTGGCTGTACCCAAGGGTGACAAACTGGAGAGCACTGGCTCAGACCCAGCACCCAGCAAAGGAGAAGTGAAAAGCTGAGGAGCAGCACAGAGAATCCCAAAGAGACGCTGCCACTGCTGCCTGCTTGCCCTACGGAGACTGTAGTATCACCATGGAAATCCCCCTGCGCCTGCCAACCCAGAATGTTTAGAAAACCTGCAGCGGTGTGGACTGGCTCCCAGTTCGGGAAGCTAATCAGGAATTAAAATTAGTGAGAGTTTGACTATTCAGCACATCAAGGGTTAAAAAAGAAGAGAGAAAAAAAAAAAAAAAAGAAAGGGAAAAATATGATCCTCACACT